TTTAGATAAATCTGCATGGTATAGCCGCCACAAGGCTTGAAAATAATTTCAGGCATGGTATTTGATACATATAACTCAGGTGACATCCTATAGAGAAAGTAGAAGTGAGAGAAGTACTAGGGTGGAGGTTTGAGAAAGGAACTGTATTATGGACTTTAAGCAAAGGCATACTATAAATCAAGCTAAGAATAGCTTGTATTATTATTTTTCTTAGTGAAGGGTCTCAATATGTTTAGAATTGACTATAGAATATAGCTAGTACAAATTATATTAGAGTCGCCTATGTGTGTTCAGCTTTTTTTTAGTTTGAAGGTGAAATACCTACAAAATTTCTCGGCACGGGTGGTTTCTCGTTACGCATGGATGGACGTTACTCTTTTTTTTATTGCTAAGTGGTCTCCCTAGGGACAAATAGTAAAATAAAGTGACATATGAATAACATCTTCATAGACTTGCTGAGAAAAAATTTCTGATTCTAAAACTATAGATTCGTCTCGTTATAGGGGGCGTCTCGGCACGCAGGGACAGACGTTAAAATCAAAAAACAAAACAGCAAAAAACGAAAAACTAGAAAACCAAAAACTAAGAAAAAACTAATTCAACCATATTAATTCAGACTCAGTCTTGCAAGCGAACCTTCTTCTCTTTGTACCCTAGATACTCAACGAGAGTTCCAGCATCCTGACAATACTGCTCCATCAGATCTCTTACCTGTTTTCCAAATTTTGCGACAAGCTAGCTCACTTTTCGTAAAAAGTTTCGGAAATTCATCTACATAGACAGCAGCGAGTGTCATAGGTGCGTTGGAATAACCGAAATCCTCTTCTGGGTCCTCGCGCCACACCGGGGCTACAAAATAAATCTCCAGTTCTCTAAAGCGAAGTTTGTCAAGATCACTGGCTTTTCCCCTCTCTTCTTTTGCGCCATTGTCTTGTAAAAAGTCTGCCATAGTCCCCTTGTAATCACTCCCAGAAAGAAGGCAGTATGCTCTCTCAGTCTGTCCGGGTATTTGCCAGTGAGTGAGTAGCTTCATCCTACCACCCACCATTACACAGGATTGAATGGTTTTAAGTGTGTTATTATGCATGATTCCATCAACCGGCAGAGTTTGTGCTTTCTTTTGTCTCCTAGGATATTGAACTTGTCCATTGATTGTCTGGGGAACTGGCTGGGTTGCTTGAGGTGAAGGCGCTGGTGTAACTGGTGCAACTGGCGCAACTGGCGCAACTGGCGCAACTGGTGCCACTGTTGCCACTGGTGCATCTGGTAGCGTTTGGTAGCGTTGGTGCGTCTGGTAGCGTTGGTGATTCTGATTCTGGTGTTTCTTCTGGTTCTGGTAATGTAGAAATTCCCTTGTCTAGCAGGATTTTATTATATCCAGCTACAACCTGGAGACCTCTTCCAGCTATAGCCTCTAAAAGACTACAATTATATGGGAAGGTTAGAAACCATTTTGTAACTAGATTCACTCTGCCGATGAGTTCTATCTTTGGTTTGTCATCTCCTGGTTTAGCGTCTATAGCACTTAATGCTTCCTCAATTCCAATTGCACAAACCAAAGCATCGTCTTGAAAGGTCTTGAAAGCGATCTTTTGGTTTTCTAAATCTGGATATTGAGCAACGACGGCTGCAGCTACTGCATCGAAGGCTTTTATCTTCTCAACAGCGTCTTCGATGTCGGATTTAAATGCTTGGTGGTTTTTGTAGGCGTCCGATTCTGGGTTATCATATACTGTTGATAACAGCTTTGCTCCCGCTGGGGTCCTTGAATAGATTGCTTTGTTGAAAGCCCCATTGGCACCTAGGAATTCTGTTCGTTTTTCTAACAAATCATACATTGCTAAGGGATTTGAGACGCGTAGAGATGTAACGTCCATTTTTTCAAAATTAAGTACTTCGGATGTTGGACAGAAAACATTCGTGTATACTGCAGGCAACTCACACTTTTTTACAAATTCATCAGCACGACTTTTACACGATTCGTATAATTTCAACAATTGTGCCATTTGCGTCGCATCCTCTGGTGGTGTAATCTGATAGGGGTATAATGCCATGTGGCAGACAATCGTGTCCCAGAATGCTTTGATAGCAGGAATGTTAAGTTGAGCTTGATCGGCATGTTGCGGCTCGACTCCAGCTGCAAGTGCTTTGTCTTTGAGATCTTTCTGGAACGCCGTGAGTTCCAGATTTTTTTGATGGTTCAGGGGGTTGATCAGAATAGCGCGTAGTACACTGGCCAATTCCCCGTTTGCTCGTGCCGCCGCGAGTTCGGCCATCTTCGGATCGTTATAGTTGATAACTATTTCGCCTACCATAACCGCATCAGGATCCAGCATTGCTGCTTCATCCAATTCTCCTCAGTCTATGGTCGTATGTGACGATGTCTTTCATAATAGGGATATATTTGTAGGTGGCACACTTCACGTATTGCTCAAGCCGTCTTTTTGTCCCAGGGGTTATGCTGGATACTCATGTCAAGAGTGTGGATGAGGCTGTGGGCTGGGATAGTCTGGATAGAAGGGGAGGTATGGGTAACATCGTGACTATTTGCTGCTCTAGCTATAGGCGCGTGCACGGGTTTGGGCTTACGTTGAGGGGGAGGGAAGGAGTGATTTAACTCTTCTTCGTCATCGACTCCTCTTAAGCTACGGTTTACTCGTAGAATCGGTTGGGAAGGAAAACTGAGACCTCAACTCGGACCTTGCAGTAAGCCGGCTTCGACATCTCTGGCACTCTCGACTCAAGACAGCCCAGCCCAGCCCAGCCCAGTCCATCCATCCATCCATCCATGGATCAATCTGGCCCATACTAGGTCATTTCCAAAAAGAAAAGCCACCAAGGCAGCAAGACAAACCTCAAACTCAAACTCATCGTATTCCATCTGTCTATAAGTACCTCTACATCTACCAGCCGTAAATCGTGTCTTTCGTTATCCTGAACATCTAACCCCACCTCCACCCATCTAAAGAATATTTTGAACCCAGCTAGAAGAAACGTCTTTCCCATGACCAGCCACCAATCTATCCAAACATCAATTAACCCAAGTCTCGAGATCTCTCCCATCCTCCAGGGATCAGAAAGTACTGCACCTAGTAGAAGTCTTCACTTCCTAATCTCATGAACCAAACGGCCTTTAACCCAAACAGCAAGAGTATTTCGATCATCTCCATTGAACACCCACTTCGCAATCCGCTCCTCCCAATTCTCCCACCCAAACATATCAACCGGACTTTCCTCCACACCCTCCAGAGCCTTGACGCACTCGGGATTCCCCTCATCTTCACTCCAGTAATTCGGTCCCAGACCGATCAACTGAGCATCCCATTCCATACCCACCTCAAACCCCCCAATCTTCTGCTCAAGCCCCACAACATTCGCCCCTCCCCTCGTCGCGAGATACAACACCTCCTCAATTGACAATTTCGCCTTGTCATCTCCGCTCATAGCAATATGTCTACTAACCAGACTCGCCTGTCTCGCAGCCTCCAAGATCGAAGGACTGTACCCACCACTCACATCCGTACCCAAGCCTACCTCAACGCCCTTCTCCAGTAGCCAGCGGACTTTGCAAGTTCCAGACGTGATACTGGAGTTTGAACACGGACAATGAGAGACCTTTGACTGTCGTTTGATAATGAGATCTACCTCTGATTCATCGAGATGGATTGCATGCGCCAAGATGGTTTTGGGCGTTAGGAGACCATGAGAGTCGTACACAGAAGTGTAATTTGGGGAATTGGGGAAGAGTTCTTTGACTAGGTCGAGTTCTCCTTTGTTTTCTGAGATGTGGGTTTGGAATGGGAGATTGGTTTCCTTATGTAAAGCCCCGAGTTGAGTCATAAGTTCTGTTGAGCAACCCGGGGCGAATCTCGGGGTCAGAATAGGCGTGATGAGTTTATTCGAAGGATCTATGTTTGCGATATGCTCGATTGTTGCTCTGGTATCCTTGATTGCTTGAGCGGGTGATTCATCGATGTACCAGTCGGGTGACAACGAATCTAGACAACATCTCCCCACAAAAGCACGTTGGCCATTAGCGAGGCAAAGGTCGGAAAGTAGGTTGGTGGTAGCAACATGAATTGTCGCATAATACGCAGCAGTCGTGGTTCCATGCGACAGAGTCCGTTTGATGCATCTGGTATAGACTGATCTCGCCCTCGCCAGATCCTTCAGACTACTTTCCATAGGAAAAGTATACGTCGTCAACCAATCCAAAAGCGTCGATTTCCCAAAGATGCCCACATTGGGGTATTGAGGCGCGTGAATATGTGTATCTTCCCGGAGTCCAGAAAATCAGCCTCTTACTCAATCTACTCACAACACAACACAACACAATAGAGCAAGAAGAAAAATAAGTACCTACCTACAAACCCCGGAAAGAAAAACTGTCCCTTCCTCGCAACCCGCACCATAACATCCTCCTTTACCCACCCAAGGCGGGGGATACTAATCTCCTCAGCTTTCTTTAAATCGCAACCCCGCTCAATAGCGACGATAACCCCCTCTTCATCCACGAAGATAGCCGTATCCTCTAGGATCTCCAGGGTATCCAAAGTCTTGCAGTGCACGAAATCCCCTATGAAAACACGCTGCTTTCCCGACATCTTCCAATCGATCTTTTCAAAAGATACTAATAATGAGATATGGAAATTTCAAGCTTGAAGTTGTAGAATGCGTATGCAGTAATAGTGATGGTTTTAAGAATGATCGGTGAGAGGATGAGAGATGGATGGGTCGTGCCGAGTCTAGGGGTAGATGGAAGCACGGAAGCACGGAAGCAAAAGTGAAGGATGGGGATGGAATTAAGTCAGGTATGGATATATGGTATTCACGGTGTGATATATAGATTGCTTGGCTGGAAAGGGATGGATGTTTGGTTGAAATAGTGATTCACGGGTGGTGTTTGTTTGGCCAATAACGGACGTGGGAGACGTGAAGTGGCTTCTTTAGGAAAGCCCGGGTGGGCCTAGCCTAGCCACTCCCGGAGACCGCCTATTGCCGATACAGTATCTCCTATATCCTACCCACCTCGCCTACCTAGCTGAACCAGCTATGTGATATCTTGAAGCGATTCAATTTTGACTGGTAATACCGAAGGGAGAAGTAAAACTACTTACCAAATTCTTTGAAGACTTGCAAAAATCAGACGACAAAAGTACAAAGCAGAGTGCCACTTGCGGGCTAATATCTACCTACCTATCAATTCTATTATAGTGTAAATCAATGGATTGGGTATCCTAAGCGCCTTGAGAATCCACCACCAGAAACCCCAGAAACCTCGCCTATATACTGGCTCTACGAGGTGCCATGGTTCTCCTCAGAGCTTTCTTCTCTTCGGTCTCATCCAGCAATGGGAGGACTCTCTGCTCTCTCATTTCTGCCAGGAAGGATTGTCCGAACTTGTACCCGACCTGATATATTTCATCAAACTTCCCAAAGTCCAAAGTCCCATAGGAATCGATCGGAGGTCTCATATAGAGGCACCCTGGTATATTCTTGGCTCGCTCCAAAGCATCCACACTCGACACATATGCAAGTCGTGCTTGTATTTCCGCCAATGTAGGTGGATTTGGGTACGACGAAAAGGGGTTCCATCGGTTGGCAAAGGCCCAAAACCCAGATAATGAGTCTCCAAAGGTCTGTGGTGTATCATCGTCAAGACTGCCCACATCAATGGCAAATATGACATCCGCTCCCAGTGACTTCATGTGTGTAACTGTTAGATTGTCCACATAGCCACCGTCGAGAAGCATGCTTCCTTCATCGCACAGTGGAGGAAGCAAACCAGCGAGTGACATGGAGGCCCTCACATAACGCCATGCATATCCGCTCGTATGGATTTCCGAGCGACTCTTGCTGATGTTAGTGGTGTTGCAATAGAATTCCAACCAGAAGTCCTCAATTTGCGTGTTGCCAAAGGTCTTGAAGATACCACGATTGAACTCATGTCCAGTGGTGTAGGATGCGGAGGGGTATGTTAGATCCAAGGCAAAACGCCACATGCTCGCCATGCGCCCCGAGAACTTCTTCGCTCGCCCATACATGGGAACAACGTCAGCATCACGAGCATACAAGGCGCCGATGAAGGAGCCGATGGAAGTGCCTCCAATAATGTCGATGGGAATACCAGCTTCCTCGAGTGCTCTGATAATCCCAACTTGCGTGATACCTCGAGCACCTCCGCCTCCGAGAACAAGACCGATCGATTTACCACAAAGCCGCCGGGCAATTCTATGGAAGTCTCCTTTGAATGGCGTGTCTGCTGAGTAGAGAGGAGTTTGTCGAACTCTACGAGAGGTGTACTTCTGTATCTCCGCTTGAAGCACTTGAACCCGTTGTTTGAGAGCTGATCCAAACCTCCTTGCTTGAGGATGTACTGGAACAGAGCTTGTCCTGAAAGCCATTTGTACATGATGATGGCCGCCATTAATCCAGACCCGGTTACGTAACCATGCTCTAGTCACCCCTTGGGGAACAAATCTATCTACGTGCAAGAGAACCAGTTCTTTTCGTGCAGTAGTCTTCATCCCCAAGAGAAAACGTTCATATTCTCCGATTGCCGAAGAGCCCTCAGCCAGGCCGACAAGTAGTATACAATCAGCTTGGCTGATACAAGTCTGGGTCCAGGGCGAGTTTACATTGGTGTCTGTTCCCTATATCAGCATGTTGATGGACGAATACTTGGGCAATGCCCATGAAGTCCAAACCACTCCAAAAGAACAAGTAGAGGAGAGCGAAACTTACCGGCAACATACAAAACAAGGCCATACTTCTCCTCGAGGTCAGCAAGATACTGCGACAGTTTCAGTTTCCCCATGCGACTAAATGCATGCCGACCGAGATGATTGAGAATTGCAGCTTGATTAAGCGACGTGACGCCATTAGGTGCCCCTATCTGGGACAGTGCATTCATCAGACGGCTGCCGAACTCAACGACTGGCACACCAGCGGTCACTGGTAGAATTGCTACGGTTCTTAAATTGACAGTGGAAGAGACCTTGTTACTCTTGGCTCCTGTCACCTTTTCCTTGCCTTGGTCGAAAATTGGATCCTCGATCAAGGCTCTCATACGCGACGCAATAATTTGGGATATCTTAATGGTGATGCCTGGATGCTCTTGTGCGAGACTGTTGAATAGGGTCTTTGGGAACTTTGCCAGCTCCGTGTCGCGAATAGCATGGAGTGTAGCTGGACGAGTAGACTCTGTCATGACTTCAAGCTCGCCCACACTCTCGCCTTGGCCGTATTCGCCCACTACTTTCATTTCAGCTTCGTCATTATTCAAAACCAGTCGCAGACGCCCGTTCAGGACGATATAAATTGCATCGCTATCATCGCCTTGGTGGTAAATGACTTGGCCGGCACTGACTTGGACCCACTCGAGGGCGAAATCAATGTGAAGAATCAGTCTGGGTAACAGGCTTGTCAAGCGTTTTGCCATTGTTAGCAAAACAACCGGGTATTTCTCCACAATTCTTTCCAAAGATGAGCGTGGCAAGAAACCAACGTAAACATCGGTTTTAGCCACGACATCAACGAAAGAGCGATAAGCTGAAATTGTACCAATATACCCAGCAATTCCACCTGGTTTGATGAGAGAAAGGGTTTTACGTCCCTTGGATTTGCGTTTTTTTGCGTCATTGGTATTTGACGTTCCTGGTATAGACGTTCGAGAAGAGCCAGTTACGATATGAGCAAGCGGAGAAAGGCCATCTTCCCCAGGTTTGGTCGAGGGTCGATGCGATGGCCCGAGGACAGTAGATGGTGATTTCTCGTCCACAGGGACGCTCACATCGAGGAAGCCATCTATAACGTAGTACAAGCCCGGGTTTCGCTCCCCTTGTTCGACAAGAACAGACCCTTTGGGAAAATGTACGATTTCCACTTCGTCTTTCAATTCTTGAGCTAACCCCTTGGTACTTGGGAATCCGCCTACACTTATTCCGGAGGTCACTGATTCTGTTTCCGCATCAATGGAGCCCTCATAAGGGTCTATGAATCCAAATGCATTACTGCTGAATACTGCCTTCTGCCTTCTCTGGTCGTAAGAGACGAGCCTTGGCGAACCTTCAACAGAGTCCGACATTTTCAGGGCATTTTTTGTGTTTGTAAGACCAATAGCCTTGAAAATGCATTCCAAAATGGACCCACGAAACATGCTATCTTCATCTATAGACTCCTGGCGGTGTAGTGTTACGCGAGGCCTCAAAGTATGTGCAAAGGGATTAAAAGTCCGTTGTGCAAGTGGACTCTGCGTATCATGATGCCAAACTTCTGGAGCTTGTCCCTTGAAAGAGGCAGCTCCTTGGCTAGCGAGTCCGCTGATTTTTCTCCCCCCAGAGCGCGACATTTGTATGTTGGTTAGTAGATCACCCGGGCTTGGATTTGTGCTTGAGTCGCGAGGAGCTGGCCCATCAAAGTTGCTGTCATTTAGTGGAGAAGATCCTTTGACGGAGGATGCTTTGGTGGATGATGCATGAATAGTGGCTTCTTTTCGAAGACTATTACTGGATCGACGTCTTCTGCCAGCACCAGAGTTGTGCAATGCGATTCCCTTGCTGCCTTCCTCAGGACCAATTCGTTCCCGCTCACGAGTGAACTTCTCCTTAAGACGCTCCAACGCATCACCACGGAGGAAGTTGGGCAACTCGTATGTCGTATATTTGTTCATATGCTTTTCGGTCCTAAGAACCTCACTAGTCAGACCAAGATAGGAATGGCTTGTAGCAAGAGTGACTCTTTGCAGTCTTGTCAAAATGACCTGAACAATATGTGCAGTAGCTTTGGGATAAACTCTTGTCAATCGACGGAACGCACTGGCTGGAATGATAGCAATGGTAGTATCAACCGTAGCCCTGGCCACTATATCTGGGTGTGCGGAATGGGTACTGATCCTTCTGGCTTTAGGTCTCGGCTTCGGACTCTCTGCAGCATCGAGCGACAGGGGCGGTACCCTCCCAATTGGAAGAGCGCCGCCAGGCGTAGAGCTCATCATAGTCGAAGATCGCCGATCTCGCCGAGTCTCAATACTAAGCTCATTGGGAGGGGCACCGTATATGGGACTGGTAGGAAGTGAGGGAGGCGTGTCGTGATGAGGGTGATCATACTCAAGCCCGGCAGCTGAGGGAAATCCATGTTGACGGAAAACAGCACTTGAAGCACTTGACTCTACGTGATCCTCTTCCTCGTGTCTCAATTTAACATCCTCGGTAAAGAGAGACAAAATGGAAAAAAGAGAGGACATGGGGGCCCCGTTCTTTACTTCGGTCAACAATTGATAACCCTGGTGCCCACTACCCATATTGTTTTCATCACCACTATCCGAACCATTCTGGTTGAATATCGTTTCGGATTCAGATTCGTGGCTTTCTCTAGATGATTTGACAAAGATCCCCACCAGACCATCGACTACTAAGCAGAAACCTTTTTCCTCCTCCAGATTCAACGTTTCGCCCGCTATCAGTTTCCGTGTCTGCATGCTTCGGGTAAGTTCGTGAAAAACGGGTCTCTCCAAATACCCAAACACTTTGATCGCGCTCAAGAACTCGTCAAGGTAATTGGAGAATCCCGACTTGGACCCTTCCTCCTGCGTATCCGGATAGAGATCTACTTGAGGCTCTTTTCGCTGTGGCTCCGGAGGTAAACGGGCATACATATTTAGAAACCTATAACGGACAAACCAACTTATAGTTGACATGAATGCGACCAGAATTAACATTCTGCAAAAGGTATATATATTAGCTGTTGACCGCAGTCATAGAAGCACATGTGGGGAGACATACAAAGTGGTTGCATTCATGGTAACCGTAAGACTGGTGGAAAAGAGTGTGAAGAGAAATGAGGGCATCGTGATAGTCGTAAAAGTGATCAACCGGTAGAGAACACCTGGTACAAAATGAATTATGGCCACGATCGTTCGGCCAAAAACCCAGAGCCATGACGAGCTTGGAGGGGGATCCGTCCCGGTTACAGCCTTTGACATTGCTGTAGCCAGCGATGCAGATACAGATGCAGATGCCGTGGAAGTGGTGTCCCCCATGATGCTGGACAAGCTTGTGCTTGCGGAAAGCGACGACATGTTTATCCTGTGATGGCGAGTCCACTGTGACCCACCGTGGAGACAGCTCGCAGCTCGCAACTCAGCGCTTGATAGGCGGGCTTTGCATTTGCGTTAGGGTATGTGTACGAGTGCTGGAGGAGGAGGTGTAGCAGTGCAGGTCAAGGGCTCGCGGTCATCTGCTCGTTGGCGTTCGGCGCATGTTGACGACGTCTCGAGCTCCTTCTACAGGAAGCGAAGCTATGCGATGCTACACTAGAGTACTGTCGACTATGGGAATTTCGTTCACAAGGATGATGGCATTGGCAGAGCCTGAGACAACCCGAGATCAACAGCAAGGCTATGAGCTCCGAGCTCTGATGGACAAGGCTCACAAGGCCAAAAAGAAAGAAAGAGCAGGAGCTCCCGGGGAAAATCTGATGCCAAGGCCGATCCGCACTAACCGAATCCGCACATGCCACCACACTGAGATTTTGAGCTGCAAGTTCACGTTGGTGACTAGGCCAGGACCAACGCCCGCAAACAATCTCCAATCTCCCAACATTGCCCCTCCCACACCATAAACGCGCCCACGAGCAGCGCCAGAATTGTATTTCATCCGCAATTCACATACTCAGCAACGAAGCGCCCGTCGAATACCTACTAGTCAGATCGCGCCCCGCCGCGCGCAACAACCGCAAAGATGTCCTTGACAAATTGCCGATTCTACGAGGAGAAGTTTCCAGAGATTGATAGCTTTGTGATGGTCAATGTAAAGCAGGTACGATACTGGCCATGTAGTAGTAGAGGGAGAGATAGCTGGATAGACGCTCATAAGAGTCACAGATTGCGGAAATGGGAGCCTACGTCAAACTCCTCGAATATGACAACATTGACGGCATGATCTTACTATCCGAACTATCGAGGCGACGTATCAGAAGTATCCAGAAGCTCATTCGAGTTGGGCGAAATGAGGTCGTGGTCGTTCTGAGAGTAGACAAGGAGAAAGGTGGAGTTTTGACCCCGCTATCAACCCTTGATAGCAAACAAAGGCTAATGCGGGGGGAATAGGATATATCGATCTTTCCAAACGAAGAGTTTCGCCTGAGGATATCATCAAGTGTGAGGAGAGATACAACAAGGGCAAGATGGTACATTCGATTATGCGACACGTTGCTGAGAAGACACAACACCCCATCGAGGACCTGTATGAGCGCATCGGTTGGCCCTTAAACAAAAAATATGGCCATGCTGTGGATGCTTTCAAGCTTTCGATCACGTAGGGACTTTTCGCATAATACACTTGGCCCTTGCTGATGAGTCATAGAAACCCCGATGTTTGGCAGGATATCTCATTCCCCAACGATATTGTCGCTGACGAATTTAAATCGTATATCGGAAAGCGCCTTACTCCACAGCCAACAAAGGTTCGCGCGGATGTGGAAGTGACCTGTTTTGGGTATGAGGGCATTGATGCTGTTAAGACTGCTCTTCGAACTGCAGAAGCCAGAAACACACCCGATAATCAAGTCAAAGTCAAGCTTGTCTCGCCACCATTATACGTGCTTACGAGTACTTGTTTGGAGAAGTCGGTTGGGATTGAAACTCTGGAAGCCGCAATTGTCGATATCCGAAAAAACATCGAGGGTGCTGGAGGGAACTGTATCGTAAAGATGGAACCAAAAGCGGTCACCGAAAATGATGACGCTGAGTTGCAAGCTTTGATGGAGAAGCGGGAGAGAGAAAACGCCGAAGTCAGTGGAGACGAAAGTATGTCCGACTCGGATGAGAATGCTGTGGAGGTTGTGTAAGTGGATTTTAAAGGTTGGGGGTATCTAAAAAAGCATTCTGGTAAAATATTTGCATTGCGGATGCATAGAGGGGGTCACAGACCTCACAAATGCAGCCAGCTAGCTTTTAATACCTATCAAGGTTGAATGAAATAATGAAAGCCAAAGTTCAGAAAGGAAGTTCAAGTGTAGAAGGCAAGCTTACACTTGGCAAGAAGGGACCCCTCAATAGGTAGTTCTGAAACCAAATTAAGTTTGAAATCGCCTGGTCGGTGACTACTATTCATTTGTCTAGTTTATAGAACCTACCACTAAAGTTCGGGATAGCTCTATTGCAGTCTGGAATGTATAGCGCTAGTGTTCTCGGTTTTTTAAATAATTTCAAGATTATCACGTCTAGGGAAGTAAGCGAGAAACTCTAAGGGGTTACGTAATCAATCATTATAAACCTATTTTATAAGTCAAAGAATAGATCATTAGAGAATTAGCCTTATTTCTATATCCTGAAAGTGATTACTGGTGTTGCGTTCGCATCGCAGCCCACGATTGTATTGGTCGTGCATGGACGAAAGTCGCAAGCCTTGGCAGAACCCAAAGCATCAAACTCATAACCCAAGTGCCTATCCTCCCTCTTACACACGACACATACCATGACCGCATCAAACAATTGAACCACCAAGAAGAACAAACTGGGCATTCTTCATGAGTCGTCTTAATCCGCTTCTTCAGCGCTTATCACAATCAAAACCATTCATGCGCAAGTCAGGATACAACCTTCTCATATTTGCATCTTGGATCCCAGCTCTCGTCTTCTTCAACGAAAATGTCGGACAGGTAGCCAAGATCAGCGGGGCATCGATGTATCCCTACCTCAACACAAGCTACAATGAAGGCCGCTCGAAAGATTTATGTTGGGTCAATAAATGGAGTCCCGGGCAGAATCTGCAGAGGGGAATGCTTGTGTCCTTTTGGTACGGATCCTGATTCACAGTCCACTTTCTGTACCAAGGGCTACTGACCGAGAGACTCAGGAGCCCAAGTCACCCGGAGGTTCTCGCAATCAAAAGAATCATAGCTGTGGAGGGGGATGTTGTGTATCCCCGTGCACCGTGCCCCTCTCCCAAGGCTGAAATTCCGGCGGGCCATGTATGGGTGGAAGGAGATAATCGAGATGGGAGAAGGTCCCTGGACAGCAATTACTATGGCCCCATCCCGATCAATCTGGTTCAAGGAAAAGTCACAAATATTTTGTGGCCCTGGGCAAGTTCTGGGCCCATTCGGTGGTGGGAATTCAAAGGGAAGACGAAGGTTGTCGAGGGGAGAAGAGAGGACGCTCCGCAATGGTCTTGACAACTACAAGCAAGCTCTTTGGAACTGCATAAAATAATGTGACATCATGCGAGCAATCATTGCAAATTAATTCCAGCCACTTTCAGCAACCAAGTTTTGCAAAATTTTCCGAATAAATATATACATTGGTAGAGGTAGTGTACTTGCATGCCATAAGGTAGTAGTGGGTACAAGTACTTTGTACCTAGGTAGCCTTGTGGAGGGGGCTACCAATTGAGTGCGGGCTGGGGTCCCTTGGCAAAAATTAAAAAGTACCATACCAGTACGCCTCTCACAACAACAAATGAGTTGTATTGTACCACAACATTGCGCCCACCATTCCTTCCGACACATCTAGCGCCTTCCATTTCGACACTCCCTCACAAATTCCCCGTGGACTCCACACAACATCGAGGGAGGGCCATGTCCCTGACCTCCATCTTCAACTTTTTCTCTCCAGGAACACCAGGCAAAAACCAGGATCGTAGCGAACTGGAACTTGTTGACGATGGAGTGCCGGCGGGCAGAGAGCCATTTGCAGATTTCAAGTTGGGAACGGCGGCCGTGCGATCTGGAAATATGGCACCGAAAGGAATCGAGGAGACAAGGCCGCCGTACTTACATGTAAGAATGGGATAAGAATACCCTTCAGCCTATACATGTCTAACCCGCAATAGTGTATGATCGCGGGAGGACTGGGTGGGACAACGGGAGATCTTTTGATGCACTCATTAGACACCGTTAAGACGCGCCAGCAAGGAGATCCCCATATGCCGCCCAAATATACAACGATGGCATCCTCGTATTCCACGATATTTCGTCAAGAAGGTATTAGACGAGGCCTTTACGGGGGTTGGCTGCCTGCTCTACTCGGGTCTTTTCCAGGGACAATAATATTTTTCGGCACATACGAATACAGTAAGAGGAACATGATTGACTACGGCATCAACCCCCAGCTTGCATATCTCACAAGTGGTATGTAGCTTTCTAGGACTTATGAAAGTAGCAATTACTTATACTGTGGTAGGGTTCGTTGCAGATGGTGCAGCATCTTTTGTATATGTCCCCTCAGAAGTTCTCAAAACTAGATTGCAATTGCAAGGCCGCTACAACAATCCTTTTTTTCAATCCGGATATAATTACAAGGGCTTCACGCATGCCGCAAGAACCATTTATCGACAAGAGGGCTTTTCTGCCCTTTTCTATGGATACAAAGCCACGATATTCAGAGATCTTCCATTTTCTGCTTTACAATTCACCTTTTACGAGCAAGGGCAAACTTGGGCCAGGCAGTGGAAGCGGAGTAGGGACATAGGCCTACCTTTGGAACTTTTCACAGGCGCCGCTGCGGGGGGATTGGCTGGGGTCATAACGTGCCCACTTGATGTTGTAAAAACGAGGATTCAAACCCAAGTCAACCCACCAGAAACGGCTTCGAAGCCCGCCAACATGAAAATGCCTGCAAACCCACCCAGTAACACCGGTACAGTTTCATCAATTCAGAAACAAATTCGCAGGATATCAACATCTTCCCCTTCTACACATACCCCTCGCCCAGGGTCAATCAATCTGGATACCTCATCCGTTTTCACCGGACTGAAAGTAATCAGGAAGACTGAGGGAATAGCCGGATGGTTCAGGGGTGTTGGGCCCAGGTTTGTGTGGACCAGTATCCAAAGTGGGTGTATGTTGTTCTTGTACCAGTCAATCTTACGACAATTGGGAATACGGTTCGCTTCTGAAAATCTGGAGGAGGCCCTGTAATGCGCATCGCATTGTAGGGCTAGTGGAATGATTGTATGACAGGTTTGGGATGGATATTGGGACATCGGTTGTATCATAATGTACATCTAAGAGCATATGGGCGGCGTTGGGTGCGTGCATACTGTAGCATGCGGGGTAGAAAACAGATCTTCACTTTCGTTTATTTTGTGTACTTGTACAGAGTATTGACTGCTAGGTCAACTCAGCCTAGCACCAACAGGGACGTCTGGCTCTCCTAGGGTGTAGAGCCGCAGCCGCCTCGTTAGGCGTTAAGCGCGCGAGGCGCCTTGAGGCTCATGCCGACCCTGGCATATTTGCCGCCATGGTAAATTTATGTACGCAATGGATACTCAAGTGAGCCCTCTCCCCCCCCCGCCTCGAGCTCTCCAACTTGATGCCACAATCGACCCTGGCCAATGGAGAATGCGCTTCAAGACCTTTGCTCATAAGGATATTTTTACGATGGCTATGGTAAATTCGCAATGCCTGCGACTCTTCCTGTGCCTTCCAAAGGTACACTTCGAACTCTTCGCCATCTCGCGTTAGGAACCACTTGTACACTCGCACTCAGCGCCGGGCTGCTAACAGAAGACCGTCGAAGGAGGATACACACTGCTCAAGTTGCGCATGAAAACTCCCGGAAGATCAAAACAGTCAAAAACTATCACGGCATTGCCGTTGACCTGCAAGATGTCGCCAACGACCCTGCGATTGTTTTCCATGGCGATTCGATGATGAAGAAGTTGACAAAGGAAACCAATCAAAGTCTGGCAGACGAGAAGGACCAAGATTTCACACAAGGGGGATTGGATTTATGGCGGGAGATTGAGGAGAAGCCGGCCCAAGATTCCAAGGAGGCACTGAATATGACTTCGATAGTGAGAAAGTCGGCCAAAGAAAGAAATCAAAGTCTAGCGGATCTATGGCTGGAAAGTGAGGAGCAGTCGACACAAGACTCGGATCTCAAGAAAGTTCCGCATAAGGGCGCGAAGGAAGTGCCAAACCAAGCGAAAATAGTTCACCCCCAGACAATGCGGAATCATTTAAGCACTGCTACTGTACCAGAACTTCGAAGGCGCAGGATTGTTTCCTTTATCGCAAATGTGACAACAATACCAAAAGAATCTGGGAAGGTACAAGCCTTGGCCACGTCCGAGTTGCAAGCTCGTCAGAAGAGGCTTGCTTCGGACGTAATCAAACTCCTTGCGTGCGTTGAGGACTCAACCGATTTGGATGCAGCCGTACTTCGTTTCCTTGAAGCCTTTGAAGAAGGAAATCTTGCTATACCTGACTTGGGCTTAGTCCCTCAACTGCTGGATGCTGCATGTCAGCTCTCAAAAGCATGCAAATATAGAGAGAATGTAGAGTACCTGACTAGGATCTTGGACACACTTTTACCATATTCAGGGTCTATGAGCGCCACTCAATTTCTTCTGTTGTCGCCATATACTGTCATCAAACACTCGCTCGAAGATCTTCCAGGACATGATCAGACAGACACAAGAGATACGAAGATAAAACTTACTAAGCTTTCGTCTGTGTATCTCCAAGTCGTTAATCGCAACGTTACGCCAGCAGATTTGGATTTGGCGGTCTCTATTGGGGAATGGCTCTGTGAGGAAACGAACCAGTATGGATTGTATGGTCTTACAGTTGATGTATATCACGGCATTACATACTACGTCACCCAGGGAGGAAGGACCACCACGGCGAAGGCTAGGGCGCATCTCATCGACGCCAATCATCACCTTGGACGGCATAAAAGAACCTTCAGTATTTTCAAAGGGTTTTACTCGGAAGTGTTGCCGACTTCCTCGAACGAGTTTGATATGGTTATTAGCCGAGTCATTGATTCTACGATCAACATGCGTAGATTTGACTGTGCAGAATATGTCTTGAATGCTGCTATCAAGATAGGGCAAGCCAGTGGGTTGTCAGTCGGCACAAGTCCAGCCTGCAGAGTGATCTCTCACCCTTGGAGGTCATCTCGAGATTTTGAAAGGTCCAGGCAATTGTTTGATCGCTTGCTCCCTTTAGCACATTCCTTCAGAACTCCGCAGGTTCTCTATCAGGCAATCATTCAAGTATGCTTTGATTCAGGGCATGCGGATGCTGCCATTTCATACTATACCCAGTTGCGAAAATTTTACGCACCCACGCCCGGTGATATCAATATATACGGTCTATTTGTCTATGAATTGGCCCGCAAGGGCCATTGGAGCGAAGTAGAAGAAGACCTGATTCGGCTGGCTTCAGCTCATCCCAACTCGAAAGAATTTGGTGCTTTGTTTGCGCGAATATTAAAGCTCTTCGTGGGGTCTCATTCCGCTCAAGATACCGAGAACTTCATCGGAATTTTTATCAGTCGGAGTTTGTTGAAGCCTTCGCCAATCATATCAAATATAATAGTAGACATCTACTGCAGAGCCAAAGAGACAGATGCTCTTTGTCGATGGATAGAGTTAATGGCTTCCATTCAAGTTCCAATGGATACGGTGACTACAAACACAATTTTGCACCATTGCTACACTACATGGAGATTTTCATATCATGAGACTCAAGCTTTCTATCAAAGGCTTTCTGCCTATGGAACCGCAGAGGGGCAATTTACTGGTAAACGGAATTTAGATTACCTCGCCCAACTTGCTGGTGCAGATTCCCCAAGCCCCGAAACATATGCTAAGCGGGTTCTCCCTTTGTCGGTTCTTGGAAGGCAGAAGCATACATGGGATACTCTTAGAGTTCACAGCGCCATCTCTGCAACCCATAAGAAGAATGATCCGCATGCCACGCTTAAAATATACGCGATAGCTCGTGCTGACCACATCGCGATATGGCCCAGAACTCTGGCGATGGCTGCACAGGCGTGTCTCCAGATACAAGGTCATGAAAAAGCTATGGCGATGATCAAAGAGGCCCAGGATCGCGGAGACGACATCTCATATGCAATTAGCAGTTGTGTCACGTGGCATGTTATGCACTCCGAAGACCAGTCTTCTGACCAGCTTCTGGATTTGGCTGAAGTTACTATTGCGTCCTTGGAAAAATCAGGGACAAGAATTGATCAAGGTATGCTGGCTGGAACGATGACTATGCTAGTGAGGAGAGGCAAATCTCAACTAGCCATTGGCTTCTGGAACAAAACCTCTCTTCGTCTCAAAATCCCACCATCGAGTATACGAATTTCCATCCTCACAGTTCTCATGCACGCCTATATCATGAATCTGAGCGAGCAGGGTATTTTATGGATTCGGACTCTCCTAGAGCAGACCCCAATTGTACCCGATCGGAACTTTTTTAATACATTGTGCCGTAGCATTAATGACATAAAACTTCGCAGCCCAGATGATGTGGAGATGTCTAGTCTGTTGCATCACTTGAACCGTCTTCGACTTCAAGTTCTCCTGGTTAGAATAAAACATCTAACTGAAAAGGAGAGGTTCAAGTCTTCTATTCTTAGCGTGGTGGAAGGTGTCACCAGAGTCAAGATTGTTCGAGTCAAACGAGGAAAACTGAGATTTTTCTCAGGAGTGCGGGAAAGACGCAGAAAAACCCGAGCTCTTCTGAAGCGACGGCAGCTGCTGCGTCCACCGTTATCCGCAAAGGGACCCCAAGCAAAAAATTCCCAATCAATTGCTGACAGTAGTACGACTGAGTCGAAGAATCTGGCGTCACAAGAGGTGCAGATGCCCTATAAGCCACGTCTACTTGTCCCTCTTTTTGAAAAGAAGCATCATCGTCCTTTTGCAAACGATCGATCTCTTACGATTACGTCTCACACCTCCTACATAGGTTCCGGAAACAAAGTTCTCGAGGATGATATTGGCAGTGAGTCGGATTTCGATAGTCAAGTTGAAAGTTCAAGTAGTGTCGCAGCGGTCGTTGCGTGAGAAGAAGCGAGACACCAGAGGGGTGTACTTTATAGTAGCATTCATCTATTCTAACATAGGATTGTCTGAAGGCATACATACCCATACCATGAATGTCTCCACATGTACATACTCCATTGTAGCATTGATGGGTCTTGTCTGTAGCCATTTCCATATATAACATACATACCTTAAGATATGTAGAGGAAATAGAATATTAGGATATCATCTCCAATTAGAGCGCACACGACGTTCTATTGATATTTGTCACGTGTATTCCGCTTTGTGCCGCTTTACAGCGGAACGTACGTGGACGTCACACATAGCCAACTTTTTTTTTCAATTTACAGCTCTTCTCTCGCGTGCAGGTTGTTCTCGATTAGACTGCCAAATGTCACCAGCTTCCTAATGTCGATCGTTGCAGAGTAAGCTAAACTCCTTTATGTATCGGTGTATATACAAGCTGTACTCGAGTATACACCACGCAATACCCCGCTAACATTTCCACAAAGCCAAGTACGTCGCGTTGACGGCCAACTCGATCGCGTGCATTTGGTCCCAGGTGCACGTACAATACACGATGGCGAATTTACGACCGACAGCCAGAAACTCTCCTCGTCCCCACGAATCGCCGAGCTCCAAGTCATCGTGAAGGCGCTCTCTTCAACAACCTCGTCAAAGCCCCTCCTTTCACCCTGGCGAATATCGACCCTTCTGCATCAGGCAGCGCTTTCAGATATCGAGGTAGAGCGGGAGGAAGATGAATCTACAAGTGCCTATGAATCTGAGTTGGAATGGCTTCTTGTCAGCAAAGCCACAGTGCAAACATATGGTTTGCTTCTCAATACCCTGTTGGAACAAACGATACCCTTGAACGATGACATATGGTATTGGGACGAGGTATTAGGTTCATATCCGTATTCAAGCCTCTATACTGTTCAAACAACCCCGTCGAGATTTCTTGCTTGGTCAAAAGATATCTATAAGGATACGAGAAATAGAGTTGTCCAGCTTCGACAATACTCGGACGAGGGAATCTCTGCCCGGGATATTGGATCAAGTTTGACGGGGCAATGGAAACAATTCTACGGGCTGGTTCGAGACAGCATACGGGAGCGATCTGTGGCCGATATCCAGCGACGTGTGCTCTCTCCGATCGCTCTCTGTCGCTCAGAAGCTAGACTTAACCAGGCGCGGCTCAGGAGGTTACGAGAAATGAGTGCAAGTGGACTGGGGGTACTCATGGATGAAGGCCTAAATTTTGAAATCAACGAAGAGAGCAACGATCTTTCAAAGGTCGATGAAGCTGACAGCCACGAGTGGAAGATTGTTGTAGAGAGGAGCATCGCGCTTATGGACAACGTCTTGAAGAACGTGACGACCCTCGAGGCCGGTGTATCTGACTTTGAAGATACGGTTTTTGCCAGTGTCGAGGATGATCCTGAGAATGGCATGGATGATACTGAATCCGTTAGACCGGCAAAGTTGTCTCGGCGCCTTCAGAATATACTTCAAAAGCATGTGCCAAAGCATATTTCAACATCCCAGAGGCTCGTCTCAAGATACGGTCGACCATCCAGACTCGTAAGATATTGGCTACCTGCTGGTATATTGCTCCTTTCTTCAACTACCATTCTCCAGATTTTGGTTAGCAGGAAAGCTGAGATTATCACTTGGATCCGTGATTTTGGGACTACCGTCCAGGACTTTTACTTGAACTGGATACTCGAACCAACGAAGAAAATCATCAGTACGATTAGACATGACAAAGATAGTGACATTGCTATCATGAGCAAAGAAAGCCTAAAAGGTGATAGAGAGAGCCTTGAACGGATGGTTATTGATTTCGCCATTGACAATCCCCAAACCTCCACAGAAACAAGCGGGCCACTGAGCGAAGCGCAAATTATGGAGATTCGGACGAAGGTCAGAGAGGGAGATCTTACCCCGGTGTTACGAGCCTTTGAAAAAGACCTTCGACAGCCTTTCATTGGCACAGTTCGGGGTGACCTTATTCGAACCCTCCTTATACAGGTTCAGAAGACCAAGGTTGATGTGCAATTTGCCCTGAGTGGTATAGACTCGTTATTAAAAAGTCAGGAATTGGTCTTTGGCTTTGTCGGATTGACGCCTGGTGTGTTGGTGAGCTTTGCGGTCTTTCGCTATCTTGGTGGGATGTTTGGGAGTAGAAAGGGGTTGAGAAAAGGCCGGAAAGCAGGTCAAGCAGTGCGAGTTTTACGAAATATCGACCGGATACTCACGCTGGCCACTCCAACACAAAACAACATTTTGTCGTACAAGGACCACGGCCTTCTGTTATGCGAGGTTCACGTCTTGCGGCAACGCGCTAGCAAGCTGTTTCCGGGGGAGATTGAGAGAGAGTTCCTCGAGGATGTGAATGATCTTTGTAATATCAATAGTGGCATTCAGCAGCAGCTCAAGGTTCTGGACCGTATACGATGGGGCTACTCGGGCTGGATGAAGAATGAATGAAGATGAGATGAAATGAGTGTACAATAATAAAATCTACGTCCCAGGACAAAGCCATCGATCAACCTTATATCTAACTCTGATCTGTGAAGTGAATGGAAGTGGCTAATCTTATGACGGAACTTTTTTCAATGGTGGGTGTCTAGTGAACGACCAGTGCAGGTTTATGTACTATACCTCTAGCTATTTTTGGTGTCTGCTCTCAAAACAATGACTTTATGCAGCCAATTGGTACCCCTACCTTTTTACCCCCTTTTGGGGTATGCAGTGAATAGCGGACCTATTGTATAAAGAGGCTTGACGAGTATAGGTAGGGGTGGATGTGCCTTCCCTGTCTGTATCTGTCTTCAAGGTTACCTAGGTATTTGTTTGGCGAGACAAGCGTTTCACTGGAGGCACCCGCCACTGTCACTGCACTGTAAATTTACCTACGAGTACGCTGCACCCCCTACAACACTCGAAAGCCTACGCCGACAATACCAGTCTAGTACACCTTCATATCACACCTGCAAACGTCTGCGCATACTTGCCCACGCCCAAAAAAGGCCACCAGACAAAAGACGACTCTCACTCCGATCGCCATTCACCTCCTGCATTCCCATCGGTCAGGGTCAGAGAGTGGTCAGAGAGTTGTCACTACGGTCACTGTCATTGTCGCAGCACCCGCCCCATCCTATCTCCATCCCATCCCGCTGCCATACGCTCCCATACGCTGCTGTACGCTCCCACCGCCTTTCCACTGCCTCGCTGTACCTACCAAACCGATCGCACAGTAATCATCCCCACAGGCCTGCACCCCACGGCACCAGCCTTCACGACCTTTCCGTCTCACGTTGCGCCTAGAGAGCTTAGAGGGTCTTGAGAGCTTACTTTGGACTGAGCTTCGCAACACACCTTTTCCATTTCCATCATCCGTGCCGTTGATCTCCCACCTTCACGATGGCCGGATCGCGCAACTACGACTTCTTGGTAAATATTCCGCTCCAGTCAACCGACACACTCTGGAGAGATTGTCATGCTAACAATTCCCCCTAGATCAAGCTGCTATTAATCGGCGACTCAGGCGTTGGAAAATCATGCTGTCTCTTACGTTTCTCTGAGGATTCCTTCACCCCGTCATTCATCACAACCATTGGTATCGACTTCAAGATCCGAACGATCGAGTTGGATGGCAAGAGAGTAAAGTTACAGATATGGGATACCGCAGGCCAGGAACGATTCCGAACCATCACCACTGCATATTACAGAGGCGCTATGGGAATATTACTGGTGTATGATGTTACCGACGAGCGTTCATTCAACAGTACGTACATGAATGGTCCAACACTCACAGTTGTGGTGTCTGGCTTCTAGACCCCATGATGACCCACTGCTAACCCACCGCCCCTAGATATCCGAACATGGTTCTCAAACGTCGAACAACATGCCACGGAAGGCGTAAACAAGATCCTGATTGGCAACAAATGTGATTGGGAAGACAAGCGCGTGGTGTCCACAGAGAGAGGTCAACAGTTGGCAGACGAGCTCGGCATACCCTTCCTCGAGGTTTCCGCAAAGAGCAATATCAATGTGGAGAAGGCATTCTACAGTCTGGCGGCCGACATCAAGAAGCGAATTATCGACACTGCGAAAACAGACCAGGCGGCGTCTACAGGCGTGGACGTTGGAGCACAGGGAAGTGGAAGTGGTTTGGGGGGCAAGTGCTGCTAAATAATTTGGTTCTTTTTGTTCTCGTGGACGGAGCGCTTTGCTTTTTCGTTATGTTTGTTTAAGAGCAGATTATGGGTGGAGTTTGGTCATATCACAAGGTATTACAAATTCAAGGCATGCTTTTTTTGCCGACTACTTTGACATTGATGGTTTGCAGATATCATGCTATGGTGATGTTTTGAATGGAGCGACGATTGTGAAAATGAGTTCAATTACGATTCAAAAATACTGGCCTCTTTATCTTGTGCGGCGTGGAAACTATCACAGAAATGAACACGAGTCGGCGCGAAAACACCACACCAATGGCTGGGAATTTGACTACAGGAGTCCTTGATAAATTTGACACTAGAGCTAATATACAAAGTAATCCCACGAGCTCTTACCACAAAATCTCTGCATTGATGATGGGAGCTGGCTCATTAATATTTACACTCTGTTTAGCCATCCGCGAAGCTGGGAAGGGTCGGCGATGCCACTCCCGTACAAACCTGCGCGCTTCATGTTTATCAGTGAAAGAGATCACATGCCTCTTTGGCTGCCTTGCGGCATTCGCACTCTCATGGTTGTCTGACTCGGAAGCCCCATCTTCTTGCAACGTGATGATTTCCTTTTCTCCGCTCCCCACAACCAGTTTCCACATCAGATTCCGTTTCCGGCCATCGTCGTAGATGGCCTCCATGATGTCGAAGGAGGAAACTCGGCCGTGGTCCGTGTAGAATAATACCATGTTCTCGGCTTTACTTTTGCTATTTGCTATTGCAGCGGGTCCGCCGTCACTGAGCAGTCGGAGCATACCTGGCTTGTATGGCTTATCTAATAGTCGCATGGAGAGCTTGGTGTGTGATGGAGCCAAGGAGAAGTTCTTGACGATGGTTTGAACGTCCTCTCCATCCTTTAAAAATCCCGGGGGCAAAGCAATAGCCCCCAGCGTCATTTGGTGACGAGTGCTAGTCTCTGCTAGTTTTTTTAGTCGAAACATATTGTCCAAGTATGCTCGGGCAGTGTACTCATTGGAGAATAGAATGAAGTAGTAATCAAGAGGCTCCAATGTTTTGTTGTCTCGACCAGGTATGACTTTGATGATTCCGCTCGTCCAGCCTTCAATGTGCTCGCCCTTGGGACTAAGTCTGAAAAAATCGCTTTCTTCAAGAGAGTGCAAAGCGCAATTGAGAATAAGTACGCTCTGATGAGCCACATCTCGCTGTGAAGTCCGGGTTCCAGCCACTTTGTGTAGTCGAGTCTCTTCGACGCTTCTTTCTTCATCTTCGTTGCTCGCCGTTTTTTTCTCAAAATCATCTATCCAATCGAAAACTGGAAGTTTAACGAGCTGGCTCTCCGGGCTCGATTCATGAGTTTGCGGGTTATTTTCCTCGGGGAACATCTCGTCAAATAGACCTTCAGTCTTTTGACGGCCCGGCTTGAAGCTGATTTTCCATTCTGGGGCTGGATTTTGTGATTCAGTTGGTGTCGTTAAACGCGGATTTATGGTTTCTATATCTACCCCCGGGACACCAGAATCGACCGTGAGAGTGTGTTGAGTTGATTCCGGCAGGGTTGCTATGCTCTCTTGAATTGGTGTGAAGACTGGCCAGGCGCTCTCGAAATCGCTCTCGAAATCTTCTTTCTCAATAGGAATAGGCTCCATTGCTGGTTGAGACAGCTTCGTCTGATCAGGTTCCACGGGATTCCGCCCAAACTTTCGCAATTTGTCTTCCAAATTGGGGGAAGCTATTTCTGTGCCACTCAAGGCGTGATCTTCAAGGAATTGGACGTCGGGTCTCCTCGAATCTTCCCGCAATATTTTCATGATCTGTGCGTCGCTTAAACGTTTGATGGCTTTCAACAAGCGAAGATCGTAGTCACTCAGATGAGCCTGGATTTTTTCTTCTTTAATTTTAACACTCGGGGGGGAAGGGGCCCCTCTAAGTATCCTGTAGTGCCCAGGTCTTCCTATTAAACGTCTGACTCCAGCCCATCGGTATCTTGGGTGGAATCCATATTTGGCTATGTGTGAGCTGTTCGCTTCTGAAGAGTCTGCACCCCCATGAGGTGATAGCCCCTCCTCCTCCAATTTGGCGTCGTTTCCATGTGCCTGTTCTGTTTGCTTCGTCCCTCTTGTAACGTGCACGGCTTCTGCCTCGTGGTAGATATTCCTTCTCTGGTGTGTGCAGGTGGGGAAGGCGTCTCTGCTGTGATATGATGCTGATGCCGACGCTCTTAGCTGTCGAATGGCGAGCAGTCGCAGCTGCTGGGCGCTCCATGCTGGCAACAAGAACAGCGGAGGTAGCGATTGCGTCAACATAATGTTGTTCAATTGGGAAGGGGAGGGGAGGCATTGGTGGAATGGCGGTTGAGTATCCGTACCTTTTTGTACAAGTAGGTCAGATATGAATAAATTGTCGAGTACGAGTACCGAGCTCTGCAGGTGAGCTCACACTCACACGCTCTGTCGGGTCCGGAGTCACTGCTCCGAGATACAGGATCGGCCTCAGATCGGACCATGGTCCCGAACCCAAACTAGAATTCAAATTCTCATTTGCATTACGGACAGCATATTTTACAATTATATTTTGGCATAAAAATCAGAACGGCCTTCGCGAGAGTCACTCAAAAGTCACCTGGAGGAGGTCAAAGGCCTGGTCCACCGCACTGCCGTCATCATGTCAACCCTCAAAGATCTCCACCTTGCGATGTCGCATAGCAAAGATCTGCACAAAATCCTGGATGTCAAAATTCGACCTTTTTCCAACCACAATAGCCAAGAGCGAGCAGATCAGAAAGGCGTGTCACGTGTACATCTCTCGAAAGAGGCTCTATTTGATCTCAAGTTGGAATCAGGACAGCCATGCTATCTATGGAAGAAAGGCTCATCGGGCAACCAGAAAGTAGAGGCTATTGCTTGGCTTGCTTCCGAGAAGACACTTGGAAAGAAGGCTCTGCAAATGACCAGGACTTTCCAAGAGACCTGCGGCTTCAATCTGGCTGACGACGTTCATATTTGCGCTGCAGGGCAGTTGCGGGTGGCCGAAGCTGTTGTTCTACGAGATGTGACCTCCAAAGAGAATGACACGATCTCAGAGTTGAAGGAGGAAGATAAATCCAATTGGGAGTGGTTTCTCAAGGAATACCTGTGTAGGTGAAGTCCCTCCAGTCAAGTCTTCTTTTTGGAATGGCCAGTGCCAATCTTGGGTAAGAGCGAGAAGATCTTTATTTTCAATTGCGTCTATATGGGCTTTGTTGTCTATAGAAACTGCAAAAGGTTGGTAAAGCCGAGAGCTTTTGCTCTTCACAACCACCAAATATTACTTTAGCTAGCGCAAAAGCTGATGGTGTCTAGTCCGCGCCGATATTGTCTTTGGCGGCATGATTTTCAAGGACATTTTGTTCAGAGGCGCAAAACGAACTTTTGTCGTGGAATCAGTCAATGATTTCCCTAATGGCCAAGGAAGCTATAGCGAAACTTTGTCATCAGTCAAGATCGTAGGACCACTAGGCGCTAATATGGAGCCAAAAGAGGCCGGTCCAAAGGTCCCCCTACATATTGCCAATGTTGCTGGTGTTGATCAAGCGTTGAAAAAACTCAACCGCTTTCTCAGCAACTTTGATCGCCAATTCAAGTTTACATCTGCCCAAAGGTCATGCTCCGTGGTTCTTAATGGGGGTCATGGCACTGGAAAGACGTTTCTGATCAACAAAGTTATTGCCGCTGGGTGGGGAAAAGTTCACCGCATTGAAAGGAGTACGAAGGTCGCAGCAATCCGAAATACGTTCAAGGACGCTACCTCCACCCAACCCTCCATCATCGTTATTGATGAGCTTGAAAAGTTGGTATCAAAGGAAGATTCTGTTTCTGAAGATGTCACCGCGGTTTTAGGTGACGAAATGGACAAGCTGGTTAGTGGACATTCAAGTTGTTTACCTAGAGTTATCGTCATTGCGGCTACGCTAGACATAGGAACTATACCGCTGTCTTTGCGGAAGAGAGGCAGGTTTTCTGTCGATATCCCATTGCCAGTCCCTGATGCTGCAGCCAGAAAAGCAATCCTTAAGTCCCTCTCATTTCCCATCCACCCAGACAAGCATGATGAAACTCTTGAACGGATAGGAGACAGGACTCATGCTTATACGGCTGAAGACCTTCTTTCACTACTAGACACAGCATGTGAGATTGCTGAAGAGAAGGAAGATCGAAAGGAGAAGGAGACTGAAATTCCCGAGGAAACTTATTATTTAGCAGAAGAAGATATTGAACAAGCACTACTCCTCATTCGGCCAACAGCAATGCATGATATCACATTACGCCCCCCAAGTGTGCGATGGGACGAAATAGGAGGCCAGGAAACCATCAAAAAAGCACTTCGCCGTGCTGTGGAGACCCCTTTACTTGTAAGTCGCCCAAAAAAACTCTTTTGAGTTAGTTCTTCTTTTTGAAAAATGAACTAACATTTTGCTCAGCATCCCGAACGTATGAATCGTCTCGGCGCATCGGCAAAAAAGGGGCTCTTACTTTACGGGCCACCTGGTTGTTCCAAAACACTTTCTGCTCAAGCGATGGCCACTGAATCTGGCTTCAACTTCTTCGCAGTTAAAGGTGCCGAACTCCTGAACATGTACGTAGGAGAATCCGAGCGAGCAGTTCGCGATATCTTTGCACGAGCACGAGCTGCTAGCCCTAGCGTGATCTTCTTTGATGAAATAGAAAGCATCGGAAGCAAGCGAGAAGGAGGAGGGCGAAACAGCGGGGTCAACGTACTAACAACGCTTCTTAATGAAATGGATGGTATCGAAACTTTGAAAGGCGTCACAGTTCTTGCAGCAACCAACCAGCCTCAGGTTTTAGATCTCGCTTTAATCCGTCCAGGTCGTTTCGACCAGCTTCTCTATGTCCCCCCGCCGGACCTTGCAGGTCGCGAGGCCATTTTCCGTGTCAAGCAGCGAAAGATGGATATGGCACCGGACGTCGATATTCTCGAGTTGGCTCGGTTGACTGAAGGTCACTCAGGAGCAGAACTGGTAGGAATATGTCAAGCTGCTTGTGACGAGGTGTTGGAAAGATGTGAGGTCGAAGGCAAGGAATTGCAGATACAGATGGAAGATTTCGTGGAAGCTATCAAGGGAGCTAGAAAGGGCATTGCGCCGGAGATGATTATGGGCTATGAGAGGTGGGCGAGACTTGCTAAAGGTGCTCTCTTTTGAGGCAACTAGTGGATAAGACATAACGGTTGAGCTAGCTATCAGCTTGAATTGCCGACGAGAACTGGGGTATACAATGAAAATCAGCTCAAGTATATCTTGTCCTATTCAGGCTTTGAGGTCATCCCACCAAGTAATGAGAACTGTGCCAGGGGTAGCCCCCCTTTGAATACTATGTCATTACGAAGAGAAGGAGTTGGCAAAACGTGGGAAACCTTAGCTTGCATGAACCGCTTTTCATATCACGGGTCAGGTTTTACTTACAATGGTCGCACAATAATACACGTTTACCGCTGAATAATAAGCAAATGCTCCATATTCCCTTCTTAAGCTCCCGACACTTATCGTGGGATTCCCCCGCAACCATCCTGAGCAGAAGAGAATCGCACAATGCGCCTCCAATAGCATTCAAAGATCTTTAATGGCCAGTATTTCCAGAAAGAATAATACCCCTGTACTTGTATGAACAAGACAAGTTTCCAAACACAATCCCCCAATAACTCACCGATGCTACCAATAATCTGACTGCAGAAGGCCACGCCGCTCAGTTCGCGAGCGGGCAGAATCTGCGGTGTGGGTGGTGGGTAGTGTAGTATCATCACGATTACTGTACTGGATTTATCCATACCGTGTACAATGAGGCACAGCACAGCACATGGCTCACTCGTGGCAAGCAATACAGTACAGTACCTATATCATTTTTTGGCGTTCTCCTTGCCTCCCTCCTTCCCTCGCATTGTCAGCTAGGATTTCGGGATATAAGGAGAGATTTACAAGTTTCTCACTCAGATTGCCGATTGAAGAAATGATTTACTCTCATACATTCGGGGGGCGAAGCAATCACCACCTCTTTGGGAAGTTCATGCGGGATGGAAAGTCCTAACCTCTTCGAGGATACCTGCAATGCATGCAACCACATATTGTCTGCAGAATATTTTCGGGACCTCGGTCCTGCCATTTTATCGCCGATTTCGATTTTATTTCTGTACTTTTGTATTTTGGGGTATCTCCCTGATTAGGTATCATCATAATAAGTCTTTCCTGTAACATTCCTCGGCGGAAGGGTCTTCTCCTCCACCTCCACAATCGTCGTTTGTAGAATCCTTCCCTCCTCCAATTCGCGTTCCAATCCAGATCTTGCTCGTTCGGGACTAGTGATAGACACTCTCATCTGGTTGCCTCTAGGCGACAATTGCAAATCGTCAAGCTCATGGTAACTCTTTCGAGACTGGTTGTTGTCTCCACTCTCGTTATTCCATTGTGAGGGGGTTTTGCTTCGCAAGGCAGAGGCGGTGGAGTTGTATGGTGTTCTTGGATCGATTTCTGAGCCTCCAAAGATCTTATATCCGAAGAAGGACATCCGTGAAAGTTGGACATGGATGACGTGACAGAACATGGGCAATGTTGTGAGGCAAGTGCAGATTATTCCAAGAGAGATTTCTGCTATCCCGCAAAGCCCAGGGGGCACTATAGCCCATGTTTGATCCTCCGTTTCGAAGAATTTGACGATGTAGTAACACCGGGCAATTGAAGCAACGCAGACCTGTGAAAGACAATCTATTGTCAGTGCTGCCAACAAGCAAAAGGATCATCTGTAGCGGAATCATACCAAAAGCCCTGTAGCAAATGCTGCCGTTACTTGCATTTTCTGCCTGGTTGTGATTTGTAGTTTCCATATTGAATGTATCGGTAGTACGAGAATGATCAGGTCTGACACGACATTGACAACTCCCGAAGCGACAAACATTGCTGGAAGATTCAAGCAATATTTATCTTGAATGAGCTTATTCCATGTAGCTTCTCTCGGCCTACAAGAAAAGATCTGGATGAAGGTGACGACAATGTAGAAGACCAAGTGAGTACCAGATACAAGACACAGTCCAATATACATTCCCAGATTACCTCGTCGTGTTGGCACGAATATCCGAAGATATTGGAGCAGAATTGAGAGCTTGACAACAAGTATAACGGGACCATACAAAATTTGAACGAGATTTGACCACTGCCAATTATTAGCTTCGTATATAAGTCATCACTCAGAGAACATATACATAAAGCATCTCAAAAAACGCCTCAAGTCTAGTATTCCACTGATGAGCACCCCCATGCCGTGCAGCGATGATGTTTGGGCCAGTGAAGGCAATGAACATGGCCTAGAGTTATTAGCAGGTGGAGGATCAAATTCGATGTGCGATTCTTACCCATCCTAAAACTGCAGTATCTATATTCTGAATTAGCAGGTATATTGTTTGGGAAGCTGCCGTCATTCTCACAATCTTCCCAGTATAGTGGTTTCCTTATCGCTCGCTGCGTGTAAATTCGCATTAAGAGAGCCAAAGTTGAAAACACAATGGCCACAGTCACGACCGGCACTGCAAATATGGAGAGGGTTTCAGGGTGATCGAAACTGGGAATGACTCCAGGCGGTGGAAGTAAGGCAGGTCCATTGAGTAATTCCCTTTCTCTTTCGGGCGGCAGGCCTGACATTCTCTTCAAACACAACCAGCGGTCCTAAAAGTTGCGAAGAGAAAACAAGAAGCAGAGGAGAAATCAACAGACCTATATGACTTCAACGCTGACCAAATGGTAGGTTGGGCTGGACGGCACAACCCTGTCCAGGAGCTAGGGGTTTGGACATAATGCGGAGTGATTCCCCAGTCACATAATGTACTTGATGCCACGCTTTACTCTCAATCCGGAGTTTCGCACTGTGACTGTAAGCCAACCAACTGGATTGCGAACAAACTGCAGTAGTACTTCCGCAAATCCAAGGTTGTTTGCATATGGCAGGTGGAGGCACCGTCCTGCACGACAGGAGGATCATGCATATGTAGAGCATGCTAGTGGAACATACGCCACAACACCACTTGATAGCCGTGCCGTATCTCGCCCCAAATATATCAAAGAGCTTTTCTATAGGACCTATAAAAGCCTTGAAATAAATCAAGGGTTGGGTATTTTAATGAAAAGTCTTGAGGCGTAGGATTACTCCCCCAACACACACGGTTGACCATGGCCTCGGATATTCCGTGATTGGCCGCAAAATGTTTGTTTCCCTTGCCTTGAGGAATGAGGGGCAGCGAAACTGACAAATACCAGGAAACAGTCGTTCATTCAGACAAACGCGGAGGAGCTTTGGAGATCTTCCTGAAATCACGCACGCCACGTGCACTAACTTGATCGACTTGTTGAATGTTGGCCCCTTGAGGTGCCACGACCTCGATATCCTCAAGGCTGAGATTGTGCGGTCATGGTCCGAATTAACATGGAACTTGAACTGAGCAATCTTCCGTCACTCGACCGAGAAAAGTGCCGAACAGGCCGCTTTGTTTGGAGGAGAGAGTTGTGATATAGCGTATCGGAGAATTGAAGACGTTGGTGTTGAGCCTAAAAGGGGCTCATGCAAGTGCCCACATGAGGTCTGAGCGAAGCTCGGTACGAAGTATATGCGACTCGTGCCCCCCATTTGACGAGACAACCATGACTTCGGTTATTTCTTTTCCTCTACGAAGAAAGCGTTTTCTAATGTGCTGGAAGAAAAATGATGGTTGTTTTGCTTATTTCTTATTCATTTGAAGATGGCTAAGTGGCGAATTTGTCCTCTTCGCAAGCTCTCCATGGGCTTCAAGGTCGGCGGTAAATTATGTTCAGTGTTTTCTTGGGGATCAGTTACATTATTTACGTTGATATGTTGATTCCTTCAAATTTCTAGGAACAATTGCTCACTGAATCTCTTGTAGGAAGATCAAAGGCTAATGGAACCAAGTGTTTTCTCGCATCTAGTAAATTGAGATTCATCAAACAACCATCCCCTCGGACCCTCAAACGTGTGATTTGCCATTTCTTTTTCAAAGTCTCCGGGGAAATTAGAATGTTTCCTATTACGGGATTTTCTCAGAATTTCTCTTCTTGTGAAACTTAGGTTCCCGCAGGCGTTACGATGTAATTACCCTCGCTTACAGAGAGCAGAAAACACAATCTCTAGTTTCCAACTCGTCGTAGTAGCAAACTTCCTGACAATTCGTTCTTATATGAGATACAAACCTCATACAAAAAAGTAATCATGATCGTTTGAACTATTGGCCTCGCCCTGCTCCTCAGCAAAATCAAAATTTCTCCACTTTCAAGTATTTCCCAGTCCTGTTCTTTGTCTACCACAAACGTCACCCATATTGCCAATAGATTATCAACAAACATTTATACAACAACACCCTATTACTCCATAGTCGTACAACAGACAAGAGCGTGGAATATCCAATCCAGTAAGCCCTGTTAATAGATCCACACTCAGCTCAATTGCAGCTTACGGTGGACAGGAAAATTGGCAGTAAATAGCCTTGTTCTCCATCCCAGTCTCTATAATAATTCTTAGTTATTGTAAGGTTCTGAACCAATCAAAATGACTGATTGAGCATTGTTAATCTGAGGATGTACAGTAACTTTATCATAGTTCAATCTAGGAAAATAGAATGAAGGAAAAAATAAGCTTAGTACCGCTTTTCTTGTATATCGCGAGCCACTTTCACACCCTCAAACGCCAGGCGTGGCCTATTGCCATAATACTGTAACCAAAACTTACTAAAACATTTTCATCGTATGCCCGCTTACTATTTGCCTAAATGACAACACAGTGCGCGACTGAAAGCTATGATACAATAGATAACCTTACAGTTTGTTGTTGGCAAAAGCCGGTTGGCTTGCGTAACGGAAGCAGTTTTACTCCCGGGATGTGTCTGGTTTATCGAGTACTTGAGCGAATCCAACTTCTGGAATGTACAACCACTTTAGAAATACAACTGCGCGTCAAGAAGACCTTTGGTGATCCTTTTGGGGAAGTGTGGCATGGAGATTTCGTTGATTCCTTCCTGGTTTCCTTCACTTCACTTTTGCCCTGCAAGATTTTCGAATCGGAATATCATGATCAAATGGAGAAGAGTTGGGAAAGAAAGACAAGGTTTTACTGCAATAGATGATGATTCCTGGCCATTGATCAATCATTATCAAAAGAGAAATTCTCCACGATCTTGACGGAACGAAGAAACTCAAAACTAGGCTGAAAGACCACTTCATACTTAGACAGACTTGAAAGACTTGCTGGCTAAAGGAACAGATACTGCATTATTGTATTTTCGGAAACGATTTGTAAAAAGAAGCATTAAAAAATGATTCTTGAACTAATAGCAGACAGAAGTAGTAAAGTAACAAACTGCAGAACCAGCACATGCAGGCAGCAAAACGTCCTGCGAAAGGAACCCAATGATATATAAGACAGACTACACCATCAGAAACCCAAAAGAATCTCACGGGTACCCGATGGGTGCTCTCTGCAATATTCCCTTGGTAGGGTCATCGGATTCGATTTATCTAGCATTAGAAATGATGCAGTGGCGAGTAAAATACGTAAGGGCGTAACGCACCCCCAGCACCTCAGCATCCCGGACACGAATACGAATGAACAGGTCATGCTTTTTCTGATCATTGACGCGCAATAGTTCCAACTTTTAGTCTTTTCTTATTTAACATGAAAATCGCAAAATGGCGTGTTCGGATCGTTCCATCGCCAGATATATGGGAGCAATTTCACTCATTTTCAGTATAACACGTGATCGAGATATAGTGGGGCTGGTGATTGTTTATTGGGCAACCGCAGATCGAGGGGACCGGCAATCACAAATCCGACCCCTTGATTGTGGACTGATCGGGCTACGCCGGGGTAATGTCGCTAAGACAAGCTGCAGATACTGGAATAAAGTCTTGACGATTTCCTCATCAACGCTCTACCATCGACAAGTTACACATTCATTTGTGCGCCTACCAACACCATGGATACCCTCACGTCGAATGCCACTCTTCTGGCAGCCCCAGAAACCTATATGGGCATCTACAGCGAATTATCCAAGTACAATGTGCACCTCAACATCTTTGAGCGTCTCTGGGCCGTATGTTGTTGACTCCCGGCTCCGTCAAGCTTGGTACCTTTGCTAACGTTTTCTCCAGAGTTGGTACCAATACATGCAAAACGATGTACTCGCGACCGGAATCATGAGCTTTGTCATGCACGAAGTCGTATACTTTGGTCGAAGTATTCCTTGGGTCATCATGGGTCAGATCTCTTACTTCAACAAATGGAAGATTCAGGGGCAAAAGATTCCTACTGCAGCAGAGCAATGGGCCTGCACACGACTCGTCCTCCTCAGTCACCTTACTGTTGAACTACCTCAAATCTGGCTCTTCCACCCCATGGCAAAGATGTGCGGAATGGAAACCGGTGTTCCCTTCCCTGCCTGGACAACCATCGCTTTCCAGATTGCCGTCTTCTTCGTCATTGAAGATGCATGGCATTACTGGATGCACCGCGCAATGCACTGGGGTCCTCTATACAAGAACATTCACAAGATCCACCACCAATACTCTGCTCCCTTTGGTCTCGCCGCTGAATACGCTTCTCCTATCGAGACCATGGTTCTCGGTTTCGGCACCGTTGGTGTTCCAATTCTTTGGGTCTTGATCACTGGCAACCTTCACATTCTCACTATGTACCTGTGGATCGTCTGCCGACTATTTCAAGCAATCGATGCTCACAGTGGTTACGAATTCCCATGGTCTCTACACCACTTCCTCCCATTCTGGGCTGGAGCCGAACATCACGATGTTCACCACGAACGTTTCATCGGAAACTATGCTAGCAGCTTCAGATGGTGGGACTACGTTATGGATACCGAGTCTGGACCAGAGGCAGCAAAGGCAAGACGTGAACGCAAGCTTGCAAAGGAGGCCAAAAAGGCACAATAGATGTGCGGACACTTGGAGAAATGGCTGTATATATAGAGGTTTCCCGGAAAGAGGTCTCGTTGAAGGCGGGCTATTTCCTGGGCTGTAGACGATACGAAGGGGCATGCCAGGTGCCGGAAAGGTCGGAGAGGGTTAACGAATGATGAAGCTCCAACACTCTGTCCGAATCTGATTCGAGTGGAGGACAATGTTCTACACCAAGTCGAGGTGCCTCTCATTTTACATGATTTCTGCTTATCAGGCGCAAAGGGAGGTAGACTAGCTCAAGCTGAAAATCGTCGTGTCGTTTCAGCCCAATAATACTTAATACAAATTGCTTATTATGGTTCTTTTCTTACATGTCGCGTGCTTTCCTTTCAATTTCCATGTCACCGTGAGAATCATCCCATTCAACCTTTCTTCTTAGGCACGCAACAATCCCCAGCTTCCGTCGCAACCCTATCCACCAAGTCCATTCCCAATCCCCCTTCTTCCTCTACATCTTCAATCACCTCACCGAATTTCAAAGCCGCTTCATCACAAAATTTCGCCATGAGAACATCCTTCGGTGACAGCCCAGGCGGAGAATGAGTAGTCCAGCGAATAAAAGTCGTATTATAAACCTGCAATTATTAATCAATACAAAAAACCAACAAAAGGTGAAGAATTTACATTAGACCACTCAGGATGATGTTTCTGCACCGTACATTCTGGCGCTACTGTATTCATGAATTCCTATATATAAAATGTCAACCCCCAATCACCACTTATCACCAACGAGTACGGAGGTAATAACAGCTAACTAACCCAGCATTTCTTAAACCCCTTGAATTTAAACTTCCTCTCGATTCCTTTCCCGCTTTCTATCACGCTCCATCTTCCTCCTTGCCCCGAGGTTTTTAAGAGGGGGAGTAGGTCTTGGATGCCTTGTTCTTCTGTGTAAGAGCTGGAGAAGTGCGGCTTGGGATTGCTGCTGGGGAGAGTACAGGTGGACATTTTGAGGAGGGGTGAGTGTAGTGGGAAGTGGCGGAGTTTGTGGAGGGAGGGTGTAGGGATGCGTGAGGGTAGGATGAGGGGGTTCATGGTGGGGTTGTTTGGGGTGTATTGAGATAGAGTTAGAGAGGATGGTATTGACCAATGAATGGGATAGGTAGGTGTTCACGTGATGTTTTGAGATTCTGTTCCTAGGTTATCCTTAACTAGTAGTCTTTATTACAGGGTTCTTTTGAGTCTTTTGGGTCTGTAGGAGTTCGATGGCATGCATAATTGAGAGCAAGTAGTTTTTGTTTACTAAGACTTTGTTTCTTTTGAAGGGTTTTGCCTTGTTTGGCTTAGAGTGTACTCGTACCTTGGATTGTACTCGGTAGCGTATCCTGGGATAGACAAAACAGTAGAATTCTATTCGCTTGTCGAGTGTGCCTTCGATGATATATTTGAATCTAAATCGTTGAGAATGAGAATATTTCTATATTGTGAAATACTTGGATGTGTAATCGCTGATTTTAGGTAGTCTTTTAATAGTAGTGCTAAGGTTATTATCGCTATTACTACTATTGATTAAGTCAAGAATACTAGCTACGCACTTAATTACGTCTATTGTACTTATTCCCACCACTCATATGTAGTGGTATATAGTAGTTGTTGTTTACGTTATGTAGAATATAATAAACGAGTTGCAAACACGGATTTTACTTCACTTCTATCTCGAAAGGTACATTCCGATGAAAGCCAGATTGCTATGTTCGGAGCGGTATTTGCTTTGCATTCGTAAAGAGTGTAGAACTCTAACAGGTATGGTACACCCTGAACGTACTGTAAAGGCCGTTAATAAGTGCCTACTGTTTAGTAACTGATCATAATGAGGTAGGTGCTACTACATGGTAATCCCCAATTGAGTTCAAGCCTCAACATCCTAATTAGACACCTACTGGTATCATTTTTTGACACTTTTTTGGGATTCAAGATCTCAACCGCAAATAGTGATCATCGCTCCGTACGCATAATTCAGAGCTGCAGGTACAACACCATAGGGAAAGAAAAGGCGGTGTCCTACTTTAGCCAGGGGCCACTCGCTTGGCGGAGAAATTAACAAAATTGTTCCTGGCCGGCCCTGACGCGATTCAAGGGGAAAGAGTCGTATCACTCTCGATCGGCTCATATCTTTTTTCCCAGCTTGTACGGAGGTAATCAACACGCAGAAGTGTTGTATTGCTCCACATCTTCCGTTCAACTTGTCAGCTTATTCGAATCTCATTCATCTGATACCACCCTAGGTTGTACGTTGTATGGTTCGAGTGTACAAGGATCAGCTCGTGCATTCACATGAAAAGCCCCCTCGCCTCATTGACTTTCCAGAGCACCCCACGAATTTCTTTTGCTCGCTCCCATCCTCAACGATGACAACCTACACACGCACTCTCGAGGCCGCCAACGAGGAACGAAGACGACTTCATCATGAGGCAGATGTCGTAGTAGTCGGCGCCGGAGTTTTTGGCTGCGCAGTCGCATTTGCGCTCGCAAACCAGGGTCGCAGTGTATTGCTCCTTGAACGATGGATGAAAGAACCTGACCGGATTGTTGGCGAGCTCTTACAGCCGGGAGGGGTATCGGCATTGAAGAAATTGGGCTTGGAGGACTGTTTGGAGGGAATCGATGCGGTCACCGTCAAGGGCTACGACGTTATATATTATGGGACGGAGGTATTGATTCCATACCCAGAAAATGCCGGCACAGATGGTACAAAGGCTTCACAGATAGAGAAAGGGAGGAGGCCAGAGGGGAAATGCTTTCACCATGGAAGATTCATATCTCAACTACGAAAAGCGTGTGCAAGGCAGCCAAATATCACCATCGTCGAGACCGAAGTCACCGACACTATCAACAGCACATTTACCTCACAGATCCTTGGGGTGGAATCAAGGACAACGAATCCAGAGACAGGAGAGAAGGTGGCAGACTTTTATTTTGGCCAACTCACCATAATTGCCGATGGATATGCTTCCAAATTCCGAAAACAGTTGATTGGAAAAGCCCCAATTGTCAAGAGTAAATTTTACGCTCTTGAATTAATAGACTGCAAATTGCCAGCGCCTTACCATGGCACTGTCATCCTAGGCGATGCACCACCAGTTCTCCTTTATCAAATCGGTACTCACGAAACTCGAGCTCTCATCGATGTTCCGGAAAACACACCAACAGCTTCTGCAAAAGCAGGTGGCGTACGAGCACATATTCGAAACGTTATCATTCCCTCCCTCCCTAAAGATGTCCAGCCTTGCGTCGAGGCAGCTCTTGCAGATGGCAAAATTCCAAGGAGTATGCCAAATAGCTTTCTTCCACCAAGTACACAACAAGAGAAAGGAGTAGTGGTATTAGGTGACGCAATGAACATGCGTCATCCTCTCACCGGAGGTGGCATGACAGTAGCATTTAACGACGTGGTTCTCCTCGCTGAACTTCTCTCTCCCGAAAAGATTCCAAACCTTGGGGATACCGATAAAATCCAAGCCGCAATGAAGGAATTTCATTGGAAGAGAAAAGGGCTTTCCTCAATTATCAATATCCTTGCCATGGCATTATACTCCCTCTTTGCAGCCAATGATAGCCAATTAAAGGCTCTACAAAAAGGATGCTTTGCCTATTTCCTTCGAGGAGGCAATTGCGTCGACGGGCCTTCTGGATTGTTGGCTGGAATCATCCGTCAACCATTCGTCCTCTTCTATCATTTCTTCTCTGTGGCATTACTCTCTATATGGATAGTGATGAAAGATACCATCGGATCCATCTTAGGACTCTGGAAGATTCCATTAGCGATTGAAAAGAGCGTCTTGATTTTCTGGAAGGCGTGTGTAGTCATCTTTCCTTTCATCTTCAGCGAGCTGAGGAGTTGATGAATCGTATAGATAGTAGGGGGTTTGGTAGATGAAAATAAACGCGGGATAGAGAAGATGATGACGAATCTTGGCAGGCTGTTGGCCTTTTATGGTTACGGCCTTTTTTTTTCCCTTCTTGTTGATATAACGAGCGAGCATGAACATTGGGTGGGAGTTTCTTATATTAGCGATTAGGATTTTAGTACAGTTTAATTTGTAATAAGCGAAGAACCTTATGGTGACAAAAGAGAACGAACCAAGTGACTTTGACAAACGATGAAATGAAATGTGGAACGGGGCGTTGGTGGTATATCAAGTGGATGTTAAGTGAGTAACATGAAGCCGCAAGAGAACTCGGAGCATAACGGGAAAACTTCCAGTTGACCAAGTCCTACGACTCCCTCTTCGCTATCCTCAGCCTCTGTGTTCATACCTAGCTACCCCCGAGTTTCTTTTCTCCCGAGGCTATCCCCGTTTGCGCCATAAAAGCGGTAGACTGATCAAAAGTCAAGTAGGATTTCGATGTTCTCCGTATTACTATCGTTACCTTTTTCTACTATCAATTCCCGTTACTAATGTCGATACCTTTTCTTGCGTCAAGTTAGTAGCGATGAGCTCGCATCACGGTGAGAACTTCGTCGACATGCTGAAGAAGTGTCGTTCTGAGTGTTAATGGGGTTCTGGTATATCTCTAGTACCGAAAAGTATCGTGAGAAAGGATTTTAAGGTCTGTCGAGGAGTGAGGATAAGGATTACTTGGATAACTCCAATTACACGGTTTTTTTAGAAGATTTAGGGGTAATTTTTGTGGATAGTGGGATTGTGATGAGGGCTTGTTTTGTGGAGTTATAGAAGGTCCTTCTCTTCGAATCCGTAGATTTTCAAGGTTCATTTGGGGTTCTGCCCTTAACTTCTATCTTACTCTTTGATATAACATATTTTACCTCTCATAATAGACAAACTCCCATGAACCCTTCTTGACTTCGGACCGTTCTGAATTGCTTCATATGAGTGTGTTATATCCAAAAAATGAAAAACCAAAAAACCTAACTTCCAGTCCTTCAATTTATGGGATCGGAATTTCCTTTAGAGATAGAGAGATACGGAGGTACAGCGGTTAAGTATTGTTACCCCTGTACCCCTGTCACTTAACTTCAAGGGTTTGTAACACAACAGCAACCAAATAAAAATGGCTCAAAAAAGAGAAGATAATAGAGCGATATTTAAGAACAATACCAGTTCTGAAACGAAGTTTTTCGAGTACAGTTTGCTCAAGTAATTGTAAGTTGAAAAAAAGCGGCAGGGGTACAGGGGTGACAATACTTAACCGCTGTACCTCCGTATTTATACTCCTGTTTGAGACGAGGAAGGATGTGTCCTCGGGGGGGTGTATGTATATTTATGATTTATATAACATATCCTATATGAAAACTTCCAAGCCCGAGGGGGTTTTAATATTGGATGATCGGAGTATTATAGTATAACACAGATAAGAGATACCTAGTAAGGTAAGGGGTAAAGAGACTGGAGACGGGATGAAAAACTTCCACAGGGAGGATAGGATAGTGGCTATTAATTTGTTTCTTACATGATTGTTTGCCAAAGCTATTGTCGTTTTATTACTTTTGTAGATATGGTACCACAATGGCTATTTGAGGAAGAGTACATTGATTCATCCACCTTAGCAAAAACTAGTATTTAGAGATGTGTTTGATACCTGGGAAATGATCTTTGTCCTGAAGAAGCATGGAAGTCCAATTAGCCTCATGGACATAAATTCTGACGCACAAACAATAGCAGCAAGAGTGAAAATCATGATCTGGCATATGGCTATACTACCGATGGGCATATTCATATTCAGGGTCCCCTAGCTAATACTCCATTGTATCTACATCTCCAAACACACTTCTTCAAAGTCTGTTCCACCCACTTTGCGATTACTTCTATGTTAATACGAGTGTATAAACTATCTTGGTCTTGAGTCTTATTGGTATCAATTTAGTAATACGATAACTATGTAATAAGATTGAAGTGAGAGTGATCCAAAGCCTTCCTTGGCGAAACAATATATCCCTCCCATACCAACTTTCTCCAGACCCCATACCCATTCAAAACAGCGAGAACCTCATTTCACTGAAGTTTGTAGGCTCCTCATCATACACTACACTAGTACCCAAGTAAAATGACCAAAAAATAAAAAAAACCCCAACCCACATAGACCTCTCACCACATCAATAGCAACAGAATCTCAAGATCTCCACTCCATCAAGTAGAGAAAATCTCATTCGGCTATTCCTTACAAATGATAACTTCTCTTCCGCCCCTTTTCCCAAATCAAACACCAATAACTCCCTCCCCTACAAACAAACCTCAATATCCCATACAATTCCCCTAATCCCACACTACCTCCCACTGCCTCGAAAAACAGTCTAGACTCCGTCGTCTAAAACTTCAACCCACTCGAAACAAAACCTGCATCCGTAACGATATCGTACAGTATAACGGTATGCACTGTACTCTACACACAAAAAAAAGCTGGTTGAGAGATTGAGAGATGGGTGGCTGGTTGGATGATGGATGATGGATGATGGATCTCGCTTGGCAAGTAAATAAATAAGTAAATAAATAGTTTCACAATGCCTGCGTGTAGCGGGTACTCGATATTGATATACTCGACCCACGACCGAACAAATTTAAGATCCGAGATTCGAGATTAGGAAAAGAAGATGTGAAATTAAAACAAACAAACGATGAACAATTTCGTAAATCTCGCAAGATTCTAGATGCATTGGATCCGCTTATATACATATATATACATGTACAAACTACACTACACCAACCTAAACCAGACACCTCCCAGCCCTCAAGGATTCCCATACGAATCCAACCCTAGGACAGGACTTTTCCCATTCTCAGGCTCCCCCACAAGCTACAAGATTCTCATCTCCGTCGATAAACACCTACGATCCAACTCGCCCTTAAAATCGCTAACCCCCACGCCATCGCCAGACTATCCCACACAACATTTAACTTACTCCCCCCAACCTCCTGCCACCCGATTTGTACCTCCGCAACATTGATCCCATCCGGCGCACTCTCCGCCAGCATCAGCATTTCCACATCAAAGATCCAGCCTTCGGCATGCATGTAGGGAACGATATGGGGTAGTGCTGCGCGGGAGAAGAGTTTGAATCCGCATTGGGTGTCGCGAATGCGGGAGGTGGCAGGAGGTGTGAGGAGACGAAGGAGGAGATGGAAGGAGTGCATTAGGGCGTTTCTCAAGGCTGATCTCTGGGGGGGTGGAGGGTTTGAGTTAGTGATATGTGGGAATAGAGAAAGGAGAGGAGGAGGGAGGAGTACTTTAACGACCGCTTCGGTTCCTACCATGTGCGCTCGACTTCCAACGGCGATGCCCCTTCCTTGCTTATCTTCCACTTTCTGGCATCCTTTGACAAGCTTCCTCAAGTCCCCAAACTTGCTCGCGCCATCCGCGTCTGCGAAAACAGTGTAGGCGCCACGTACATGTCGAAACCCATGTGTGACCGCACCCCCCTTTCCTCGATTCTGCTGTAAAGTGCAAACCCTCAGAACATCATGAAGTTTATGCTTCCTCGAGAATGCCATCGCAACATCGATCGTCTTGTCCTTACTCCCATCATTCACAATCAAGATTTCGTAGCCTCCAATCCCCCGATTAATTTCTTTCTCGCCCTTTTGCTGGGTATCTTCGAGTGGAGATCTCCCGTATTCCGCGTCGAGGAATTCCACTGCTTCTTCCAACATGATTTCCATCCTTTCCTCCTCATTGTAGGCTGGCACCACTACACTCATCATTATCTCCGGGCCCTCGATACTGCCCGTATGTTTCGCATCGCCCTTTCCAGCGGCAGCATCACGTCGATGCGCTAGCCAGCCATCGTGCCAACACGGGAGGGCTTGTGAGCAGACGGGACCGGCGGGTGTGGTGGTAATGTATGTTTTCTCCGAGGGATGCGGGGCTCTGGGTGTCGGCGCAAGAAGGTAGATGAGAGCGTATAGCTAGAGAAAGTAAGTTACAATACTGGACGCAGAAGCTGGCCGGACGGGCTTACCAAAATTAAGGAAGAGACAATAGCAGAGAGAAGGGCTAAGAAGAGAATGTGGGGTGGTGTCTTCCGCGCTGTCTCCTGCAAGTTCACCAGGAACCCATGGGCCAATTCCACGAAATCGGCCATGCTGAAGTCCATCTCTCAATTCTCCAATACCAAATTGGAAGACGTATTAGTTCTCTACAGTGGGAGATTAGAAAGGACGGTTAAAAAACTGTAAGTGTAGCAGCTGAAGAGTAGGCAAAGCGATGTTTAAGGTGAATAAGATTTGTATATCGACATCGACATCAGTTGGGAAGAGCTGCGCCGAGCGCTTGAACGTTTCGGAAAGTCAATTGACGTGTAGGAAGACTCTAATGATACTGGTACATGATCTGGACGAAAGGAAAGGAGTTGCGAAGTAGACAAATTTGGTGTAGGAAGAAACCAACGAGCGTTTGGTGTGGAATATTATAAATTGTCGTGGTCTTGAGCTGATCGCTTCACGCGGGCCTAGCCTGGCGAGCCTGGTATGAACACGGTCGACACAAACACCTGCACAGGGCCTCGGCGTCGGGTACAAAGTGGAGTGAAAACAGGGGTGCGACGGCATATGTAACGGTGGCTTAGCGAATCTACTTGAGTAGGGCTGCAGCTTCCGCGGAGGACCCGAACGGGCAAGGCCGCTGAACTCCATCTGAATAAACACGCCCTTCCAAACAATCTTGATACAGGAGAACAATTGAATTCAACGGGGGTTAATGATCAGACAATCACCGCGAAAAGAGGTCAATTACTGGTCTTTTGACGAAGAAAGGCACATCTGGAGCTAGGATGGAGCTTTGATATTGAGACCCTGTATGGAGGGGTATGGAGCCACGGGAAATAGTTCATCTGATCCGCCGCCGATATATTTCTTTTGCTACAAGTACAGTACGCATCTGGGGTAATGTACAAAGAAAACGGATTTCTCGTCGATATCTTGATTAATATATTGAGGTATAATCCATACCAACCTCGGACAACATAAATACAGAGCAAGACCACATGTACCAAGAAGTAGCACACTACAACAGTCTTCTCAAATGCTGTCATTGAGTCAAGCTCTTGCTATAAAGACCGCCATCATGCATTCTTCCTGACCGACCCGCGTGATATAATACAAAGGGTTTTGCAACCCAACATCATGTCATCAAATGCTCCCTCTGCAAATATGTCTTTCCCGAGCGAGGCCATAGCCAGCTATGCGGGATTATCTGTAAAAACAACCTCACAATTCCTCCAAAGACTCCATACACCCTGCCCAATCGAAATCCCCCGATGCCCCTTCTGTGTCGAAATCACATCTGTTTTTCTCTCCTTGCAGGTGCCTTTCAACTCCCACTATCGGCTGACCCGCCACCCTCTCCGGTCTTGATGGCCGATGATACGCTGATGGCTATCTTGTTCGGTTTCCCGCTAGGACCTCCACTATGTGATGCGAAGCTCTTTTTCCGTCTCAGGTCATTGCTAGAATTGGATCCCATCGAGCTAACTGAGCTACTTGAACTTCGACGTTTGGAGGATGCCAACTTCGCGAGCTCATCATTATCATCATCCTCTTCTCGTCTACGTTTCTCTGACAATCTTTCCGGTGGAGGTGGACCATCGGCTGAGAAAAGACTTGAAAGTTGGGCTCTAGATCCCTTGCGAGGAAGGTCATGATCAACATCGGCCTTTGATGATCCAGGTTCCACGTTCTCATTCTCTTCGTCTGATGGGTAATCAACCAAAGGTTTTGACACCGGAGAAGTACCATTAGTGTTAGCTTGTTTCCCTTCTGAGCCGAGACTGTCCTTCTTCTCTTCATCCTCATCATCAGATGTGTTAAAATATTCCTCCTCCGCGGGATCAAGATCTTTGATTCCTCTTTCGTTTTCCCATCTGCTTGCCTCGGATCGCTTTGGTGTATCTCCTCCTTCATTGTCCAAGAAGGAGCTGTCTAGGGTCGCAGGGTCAAACGCAGCAGCGTTGTCGTATCTATTGATGAAAGTTCGGAATAAATCTACATACGTGATTTGCTCGAGCAATGCCCGGTGATTTTCGACCAAATGGTTGAATAAACTCTTGGTCTGACTAACTCGGATGTACTCGAAGAACTCGAGGCAGGCTGAGTTCAAAAGATTATCTCGAGGCATGCTTTCAATGATCAATTCTAAGATTGGCTTGAAGAGATTCCCTCCAGTCATATGCTGGTTGTAAAACTCGTCTTGGAGTCCTATCAGATTACGGAAGAATTTTAATGCAGCTGGCGGAAAGTTAGTATGCGACTTCAGGTTCGAATAGAAGGAAACTTACTGAGCTTCAAGTATTTTTCTGGGCTAGACAAAAGCTGGGCAATTCGTTCACCCAGATGCTCTGAAAGCACGAAATACTTGCTGTGGTGTGTATGTTGTCGAACGAAGAAGCAGAGAATCTCGATCAGGTATATGAACAATGAGACTTGCTGTACCGTGAAATTCATGTCTGTCCTATCTTTGAGGTCCACCAAAGGTTTGAAAAGTTTCTTAGCCGAGTCGTCATAGAAATTCTTCACAAATTCTATTTGTTGTGGATCGACCTGCGGTCTCAACACCCTCTGTCCGAATTCACCGCCTGCTCTCGAAGGATCCTGAGGACCACTTTGTTGACCTGGATCTAATAAAACTTTAATCGCATCGGCAATTTGTGCTTTTACACCAAGATCAGCCTCCACGAGGAGAAGGTCAATTAGCGAATCTGTCAGCGGTACTTGTCTTTCACTGATCTGCCTGAAGATAGTCTGTCGAATCATTTGAGGATCATGGTCGATCATTGCGACTAGTACGTCTGTGGCACCCACTCGAATGGCTACATCATTATGGCGGAGAGCAAAGGTGATAACTGACAAAAGCCCATGCGCGAGGAAGTTGTTGAAAAGAGCGTTTTTCGATTGAGGCTGGAGGTTCTTTGCGATCGCGCAGCACTGTTGAATGAAGAGAACGGCTTCCTTCTTGCGCTCCTGATTTGTTTCCTGTGGGCTAAATATACCAAATAGCTCCTTTAAGAATGGTGGGTTCGACTGGATATGCTGGACAATATCCACTTGCGCGAAGAAAATGAGGCTATTTAGCACCGAAAATGTGGGGTCATCCAGAATGCGGGCAAGTACGACATCTTTCAGATACTGTAATCGATAGACCGTATGAATCTTCTTCCGAATATCTTCGTCCTGGATCCTCACGACCTCCTTATATCTTCCCTCCTTGCCAAGCCATTGCCGGTGGTTTGCCTTGTGGCTGGGAAAATCTGGGTCGTACTCTAATGCACCCATAGCACCAAGATACACATCTTCTCTAACCACCATCTCCATGATTGAATTGTCATTGAGGAGTATGAAAATCTTCATTATGTTGCAGAGCTTATGCAGGCTGGGCAGGTCTTCCATATCTTCGGCCATCTCCAACAGAGGTACGAGTTGTTTCATATAGTCTTCTGAAAGAATGAACTTCGCCATGGCATCGCGTCCGTGAGTGGTATTGTTGTATGTCCGAACTTGGGTTTCCACCTCTGGCAAATTTCCGAGTGAGGGGGGGTGTAGCATTATTTGGTGGGAATAAGTATGGTCCAGTGGCATGTCATCGTCAAGGGGATCATCTGGGAGGATTAGCAGAGTAATTTATACTGAAGAATGACCTCAGACAAAGAAAGAAAAGGGAGAGATATGGGGTATATATACAGGATGGCCGCCTACCTGTTCCACTAATTTGTGAAAACGTCTCTTGAATATTGCTCACGAATTTCCTGCGCAGCGTTCGCCAATAAGTATTTTTTCGTCGGGTCTTTGAGTACCAGACTGCAATGCTTACCATATCTGAGTACATCCATCGGCTTCCTGAAAGCTAAGGGCCATGTCAACACTGGTTGAAGGTTCCGTCCATACTATCAAGGTTTCTATTGGTCGTCATTAGCCAGCAAGACTTTTCCGATGTTGTTAAGCAACACACCTTGTTGTTTTTGGAACAAGTCCTCTTTGCAGATTCTCGTCTCTAATAATATACGGTCTGGGTGGTCCTCGGAGTGGACCACCACCCGCGGTTCCTCATGGCCGTTGGTATCGTTCTAAGACGCGCCAAAGTCAACAAGTTGTTTTCTTACATGTGCGCGCCTAGCTCTAGCTTCACATCCACAAAACACGACGATGGACAATTCGAGCAGGAATCTCTGAGGGTGCAGCACATACCAGTGTTAACTCAGCAGTGCAAAATCCAGTACCCCTATCAAACCAGTCACTGTTGCGCAATTCATAGACTTTCACCCTCTTCTTGTTGCTCGGAGGAGGTTCAGGCACCGGCTGTGCCATCATCAAAGGTTGTAGCTCCCCTTCCAGCTCTTCTGCAGAACTGCTCGCAATTTCTGCGTGTTGTTGAAGAGACAGCGGAGCCTGGCTCGTGGTGATGGCCGTGAGCGCCACTTTGCGCGGATTGAGTTGGTGACGTGAGGGGATGGGATGGGCAAGGCGCGAGGGCGCGAGGCAACGAGTCACTCAAGTGAAGTATTCGGGCAGCATATATCGCGTCAAGCAGAGGCGTCGTATATCGTTTCGGTGGAGCGCGTACGAGGGGCGATTCAGATGGCGTCGTTGCGGATTCGGTTGACGCCGTGTGGTTGTTTGCCGTTGCCGCAATGCAGGTGGATTCCAGGTTGAACTTGCGATCTTCTCCGAAAGAGGTTCGCCGCGCTCACTAGTGTCAGAGAAGTACCGGCCGGTGTCGGGTTTCCCTGTCTCCTATCAACGAGTATATTCACTTTAGGTCATCAATTCGCTGTATCTGGCTTTAGATAAGGTGTAAGGCTATTATCGGGCACTGCCTTTTCTCTCTCTGCCTCTGCCTACGATGGAATTCGGCTTACACATTCGATGGTCTTTCATGGTCTGCACCAAATCCAAGTTTCGGTGTTGCATCACGTGCTTACGAAGCCCACCCGACCGACGCTTATCTAAATATAGGCCCGAGCCGTTCGGAACGACATCGGGAGGGAGAGCGTCATTCGTTTCAGAAAGGCCCGCCGGCCCCCTGAGAGCTTAAATCCTCACGAGGAGCACGTCATAACGCGACTTTTCTCGACATTTTGTTTACTTACTTCCAAAGTCACCAAATTTCAATGTCCGAATGCCCTCACTATTAGAATGTTTGTTTGACAGTATCTCACACGGTTGTACAATTCTCGGTACATTTTCATTGCATTATCAACGCTTCGTATCGTATTCCATTGTTAGTTGTGTTATGATATCGTCAACGCCGTCGAACTTGGAACACTTTCTTCACTTCGGTATGTGAAGTAGTGTACAGCTCGAAATATTCCAACAAAAATCTTCTTCCTGAAAACCAGCTGGTGACTAGATATACTATGCTTCGTCTCTTATACTTTTGGCAGGAAAGGACGGAAAGAAGTGGGAAAAAGGGGGGGATAAGGAGGATACAGAACGAGAGAGGAAGAAATCTGGAAACTCGGCTCCATTCTGTCCTTTCATACTCGAGTACTCCACTGCTACTGCCCTATCTACGTCCTTTCGTTGCGGCTCTGGTCTCAACTTTGATGGCCACGTGTTCTCTGATTATGAAAATACTCACAATAACAATTTGCTTCTCTTATACACCTGGGGTTAGGTTGGCCCCGTCAAAGAGAAACGTCGTCTCCTCTTTCATATTGTCGAAGCCTGGCAATCAGCGGAGTGGCACACTTGTTTCTTTATCAAGGATCTTCGCCTGCATCTTATTTCGATTCCTTGCTATCGTTCCTTGCTTTCGCATTTCATTAACGCTGTCATCCATATCTCTGCATGTCAATGTTGTCCAACGATGCAGACTGAGGCGAACATATTCAACTGCTCCTTATCTACGAGTTTTCGCTGCTGTAGTGTAACCAACTAATTCCAACGGGGGCTGATCTCACCACTTGAGGCCTGGTTCGAGAGCTTACACAGTCGGTATGAGAGTGACAATTGGAACCCGTTGAGACCGTTACGAGTACATTTCGTAAAGTGTTCTACCCAAACGAACACCCGATGAAGGGATGACAGAGAAGAAGTTGCTGAGAAAATATTCTCCTAATGCTCGCTGGTGTACAAAGTACTCAAGTTTATCTCTCTCAATGCCACATCCGAGTCAGCCGAGGCCAGGTAATTCTCAGAAAGTAGGTATGCAGCAATCTCTTGTCACATAGCCCGAGCGAGGCATGGTAATCATGCCTAAGATAACGCATGCATATCTTCTAGTCGTTGACGCTCCTCGATTGATAGACAAGAAGGCGCACAGAACCCTTGGGCTGAAGGAGGCGGTTGTGCTACGGGTCAGTTGCTATTTTTTGGGGGTTTGAAGCGAGGGTTATCAATATGACGCTTGTGAAACCGTACCTGCAGATATCTTTGGATGACTGACATAGGACAAGCCCCTACAAATAGAACGGCGGCCTGAATATATTAAAGAACGTTGCTCACCAAACATTTTGGTGGTTGTCAAGATGATCCGGCAGTCTTCACACGAACGTAAACATTGCCTGGGTGGATCCTGGCGATCGGTCGGGACCCAAGACCAAGGAGCTTGGTTGCATTCGCAATCGTCACCGATGCAGCGATGCACTTGTGAACAAATGATCCCTGTGATGATCCATCAGTTGACAAGGGGGTAATATTGGTATCAGATGGATGGGATTTTTGGTACGAAACATTGCACGGCCCTGATAAGGAGTTCCGAAGATAATCAGGAACACGACGAAAACCAGAACAACAATCGAACACTACAGGCGATCTGTATTATGGTTTGGATCAGCATCATACGATTAGATTGATCTTATTGATCGACGGATCCTGAAAATATTTCCCGGTGCAGAGGTAGGTGGGAAACCAGTAGCCAGTTGGAAAGAGGCGTGGGGGTCATCTTCAACATGAGCATTATTACAGCCTCATGCAGTGGAAGCTTGCTTCGGTTGCATATTTACGTTCTTTGCGCGCTTCTGAGCCTCCATTGAGGTCTTCTGTTTAAAGAACATGTGTTACACTTTGGCGTTTGTGAGAATGTTCTGGCTGAGCTGAGTTCGCCGCATATGCCGTTGGCAAAGCCATTTCTTATAAAATGGTCCAACCGTTGATGGCCAATGTTATCGTCCTATTTTCCGCAATTCTCCATTTAGTACCGTAAATTGATCACGAGAATGGCCCGTTGAATGTATTCCCCATGTATAACTTGATGGTAGGAATTGTATCCTAAAAGGTCAACAATCTTAAACGCTTATCAAATGACTGCTGAGGACAACTTCATCTTTTTATCAGAGCTGCATGTAAGCCGTGTCTGACAGCGCATACCTGACGCTGATGAGGATAAGGCAATTTCATCTCGCAACTTCGCGGGACGGTCGGGATTTCTGAGTGAGTTTATCGATGGGCGGCACGATGATGATAGAATATTCGGTACGTGTACCACAATAAGAGATCCATCTGAGCGCAGCCAAGTGGGTTGTTTAATAGTAGTGCGCCAGCCTCTGTCCGGGCTTACACTTATCGATAAGTAATTCGAAGTAAGACTCTTTGGATGACTGCAGTGCTCGTTCCACTTTTGAGAGTTTTCTTCGTATCTCTCGCCATGGTTGCTCGTTGACAGTCATCTCCAATACAGGCTCCTTTGGGGGTTTGAGCTGGGATACAGGATATTCGTGCGGAGAAGAATGCCGATCTAGTTCTCTGTATAAGTCGTTCTCAGAGCGTGTTTTTGAACTGAACGTAGCGGTGCTTGTACGGAGTATAATAATGGCGGAGAGGCAGCTCGAGTCTCTCATATGATTTCCCAAGTTTCCGTGCTGCAAGGAAGCGACGATTCGGGGACCTGAAATAGATACGTTCGGATCATGATCATGGAAGCTGCATATGCCATACGAGAAAATCATACTAGTAGCATGGTTTGCAGGGGAGCCAACCCGCTTACCATCCACCCAGGCGACCCAATGCTTCAAATGGCCCTGGCTTTTAGGTAGAAACTCGCTTCTTGCTTGGAGGCTTGTGCTGCTCGTGGTGTTTGTTACATGGCAAAAGCGCCTTGGCATGGCTTGGTGTACTGTATTCTCTGCGCTCATTCAAGGGCGTGGGATGATGGCCAGGCGAGGCAGGGAGTAGATTGATCCCACGTTTGTTTTCCGGACTCCGAACTCATGGTGCTTCCTCAATAGAGCATCGTGGAACAGAGAACAGAGTGGTACAAGTACGTACGAGCGCGCAGTGGCTCAGTGTTTCCAGTTGGTGTTGGATAGGACCTGAACTGCAGGTGGTTCAGGCAACTTTTGCTCTCAAAATGCAGCCAAGGGCGCAGAATAGAGGCACATCGCGAGGCTCCACCCTCCGACAGGACAGGACAGGGCAGGGCAGGCTGAGGACAGACGTGGTTGGCGACGGCGATGGTGACGGCGATGGGCTGGGCTAAGCTGCATGAAGCAATAATGATGGATTCTTTTTGCTGCCCTGCCCTGCCCGGTATGTCCATTCGATTGGTGTTCTCGAGCTGGATCACACCGAGCGTCGTCCCGCGAAGCTGAGCGCCCCACGTACATGCAGTCGGTGTTGCTGTGGTTGGAGTGCCAGTACGGAGTAGTAGTGGAGGTGGAGGTGGAGGTGGAGGTGGAGGTGGAAGTGCCTGGTAAAGTATGATAAGGCGAAGGGAAGGCAGGTCGAAATAAAAAGAACGCTTCGCCCCTCGCACTCGTTAGGGTAGAGATCTCCTCCTGTCACCAAACGAACGAGCACTTCGTCTAACTCCCTATGTCGCCATAATTAAACTAAATCTTACATCTACATCTACATCTGCATCTGCATCTGCATTGAACCTGTCACTCCTCTTCGATTGTCGACCTCTCCCTCTCCCTCTCCCTCTCCACTTCCACCATAGTTGCCGCGTCCTGGTGTCAGTTGCAACACCTCTCTCGTTCTCTATAATATATCTGTTTCTCGCTTGCCAACCTTCACGCTTTTTTTCCTCACCACAACACAATTCTCCTCGATCTACATCAAGTCACGGCCCTTGTGTTTCAACTTCAAGAGGACGTAAACTAAGATCGAAGCTATCCATCCCCTCAACGACTTTCTCCAAACTTGTACCTGTACTATGATTTGTCCGCAGCTCTGAATAAACGATATTTCCACGACCTTTCAACCAGCCGATTTCCTAAAGTCGTTCCTCCCATAGGGAGCTTCCCGCAACACGCCTTTCCCGACCTCGTATCGTCATTATTGGTGACAACACGGCTACCCATCTCCGTCTATAAAAAGCACCTTCATCAATATGTCGATCTTCTCGAAGATCAAGCAGAGCAGGCAAGCCGCCAAAGAGCATAAGGCAAAGACTGCCGAAAAGGGAAAAGAAAATGAACCCGTCAAGGTTACCTACAAGCACATTCCAAAGCATGCTGCGGTAGACGCGCTGAGTGGTGCTCCCTCGAGCTGGAAGCACGAAGATCGATCTAAGATCAAGCAACAACATCAAAGAAGAAGCCAGATGGCTTTGAGTCGACCAACGAGCACGCTCTCTACAGTCTCATATGTCAACTCTGCCGCTGGTCCAAGTTCAAGTTCCGCACCTGCACTGCCTCGGAATAGTAGTTACAGCAGCTACAATCCAACATGGTTTGACCGAGGAGGAGACGTCTACTACTCCCACTCCCAAGAGTCTGCACAACGACGACCAAAAAAGGCCCGAGGACATTCGTACAATGATTCTGGTCTGGGTGCCAGCATTGGACCCTCGCCTTTGGCTTCAAATATGCATAGCGAAGGTATTTTGATTTTCTCTTCCACCCTCCCCAGGACATTCCCGTCACTCAATTGTAACGTTGAGCCACATTATCACTAACCCATAGCAGATGTCTCGCCAGCAGAAAGCTCTGGTAACAGTACAACATCCAATTCCTCCGACAACCTGGAAATTAAGCACACAACAAAGATGCCTACCCCTGAAAGACCCAATTCTGGTTCTAATCGCGTCTCGATCCGACCACAGGCCATGGTATACGCCGAGAAAGACATTTTTGATCGCCTACATACGAGTACCACGAGGAAACTCGGGGAAGCACCCATTTCCGCCGCGGGAGAGATCAAAACACCAGTCGTGTCTTCGGTTACAGCCGGACAGGAACCCAAGCAAAAGAAGCAGCGATGGAGTCTGATGGGTAAAAGAAACAGTGCTATTGCCTCCTAATTCTTTCTGTACGAAGTCACGAGAAGTGCATTCCCGACGAACAGAAGATTGAGATAAACGAGTGTTCATTTAGCGACAAGATGGAGCCAATAGGGAATTAATACTGAGGACCCTTCTTTTCTTTCACGACTTAATCACACCCTGCATATCTGGGGAACTGTCATCACCGCATAGATGCAGGGTGGTATTGCACGTGCATTATATTGAATCTCAGCATATGCATGCCAACCGCACGATCTTTCACCTGGTAACATCCAAGGCTACTTTTCATTTGTCATCTCATTCTGCGTCAACCACCCTTCATCTGCGGATGGTCATTTTAAGCGAATTTTTCTGTACGTTTCCAGGAGGGAGGGTTGCCATGCTACGACAACGAGGGAGATACTTGTCGAACCTCGGCGACGGGTGTGCCGTTACAATCTGTACAGAACCATTATCGTGGAAGGAAAGTGGGATCAACACTCACATGGATTGGCGGCTATTGAGTGGTAGTGCAAGAACTTTGATGACGTCTAGCGTTTATGGTTTTGAAAGCTTTCATCTGGGAGTCTGTTTTATAGAAGGGCGATCACAAATTGACTTGCGAGGTTTACATTTTGGGGGGATGAAAGGAACTTCGCCTACGAAGAGAGTCGGACTTAAAATGCTGGGAAGGTTTTCGGATACCATTCTTTGGCTGAGAGTTCTCTGAACAGCAGGAGTTGAATACCAGTACTTTTCTCACTTTTCCTTGATGTAGTAATAAGTCAATCTGGGTGGTTTCGTCTACCATGTATCAATACATTCTTGATACTTCCCCAGCTTCCTCTAATCGAACGTCTTTCGTTAACCTTCGACATTACCAGTTTCTAAGACATACCTGCCTCTTCCCTTCTATGAAACCTAACCAGACATCTCTCTAAAACTCCAGATAAACATTTCAAGCTTCAACCCCCTTTTTTTCGAAGTATTGAAATGAGGAGAAACATGGAGAATTCCGTATGGAAGCTGAGACATTACTGGAGGTTTGAGACATTGGTTTTAGTTGGGGGAGTATGAGATTCTCTATCTCGGAAGGTATTGTTGGATGAGTTTGGATGAGCAGAGAGTTGAAATTACAGCCAATTTACTGTGAGATGACTGGTTCAGTAGTAATGCGAGTGTGTGAATTACAGGTACGGAAAAGTATATCAATACACGTGATAAAAATAAGGTCGCGTATTCCATTTCAACAAGTCGGGTTTTCGAGGTTGCATCCAAGCATGTTTCCGTTGCCAGGTTTCTTCTGAACATGACCACCTACCTGTCTACCCATACACACGAGAAGGGGACTCACGCACTCCCGTCTCTTACTTGCTACAACTTGAGCAGTCGGGTTACACAGTACTTCAACTGAGAAAGCAGGAGGTCTTGGGAAGCCACGATTTCGTGCAGCTCGGGAGCAACTTGATCATGGGGTTTGTCCTCGACTCAACTTTCCATTACCTGGGCTCGGACTTTCGCTAATTCCAGGCTCCACTAAGGCTTTCGAGGGTGACTGTGATGGTTACAGTTCGTTCTTTCCCTCCTCGTCGGTCTTGGCTTGGTGTGAGAGAAGGCACGACCTCGAGCAAAATAGAGCACGACCATGTCAGGAAAGATAGGCACAATGGATAGGTACTGTTGAGAACTTGAGATCGCTCGTCACCTCCAAATCAGGTTGACCTTACCACCTCCAAAATCTCTCCTTCTCTTCAGAGAACCCAAAGAATAACAGCCCCCCCCTTTTACCCCTCAGATACACACTATTTCATGGTCGGAATTAGCAAGTTGTCTCCCACGGAGTGATAAAGCAAAGCAGCTATCTCCCCGATTCTCGCTGGCACTTTCTAGTCATGGGGTTCCTTCATTATCATTCGAAAAGTTCTTTGCTACATCGATCGTCCACGCATTGTTCCCAAATTGCTATGTTACGATAGTGCTTTGGGTTTCTCTTTCAAGAATCAATCTTTTGAATATTTGTTCATCTTTCTCAATGCTCAATGATAGAATCGGCCCTCTCAAAATGGAAATCTAGTGGATAGAGATTCCAGGATGATTGGGAGATGGAAAGGACGAGCTTTGCTAGAGCACAGTGGAATAAGGTATGATTTCATTGTCATGGCCAGTATATACCCTCCTTACTGCCATTTTCATTCCCTGATTGCGGTATCCTACTTCAAGACCAGTGGGACGTGAACGATTTCATCGAAAATTGAGCGATTGTTGAACAAGAGTACTCGCCGAAATGAGTCAGGCATGGTCATACAAACCTCTTACGGATCCCAAGAAGAACTTCCGGGTTCTTGAATTGAAGCCTTGGGGGCAAAAATTTCCACCACTTCCGGCTAAAGAATTCACATTCAGTCCGCCAGGAGCGGCACCCCGAATACCACTTTCTCATAAAGCAAAATACGCCTCCGTTCGTAACCCAAACCACCCAAGATGAACGCGAGGATACCTCTCAGAGGGAAGCTTTTGGAGAAAGAGATCAAAATCTTTACACAGTATGAAGCAGTTTCATGGTGTTGGGAGGGCGGCAAAAAGAAAAAGCAACCGTACCAGGGGATTAGAGATCAGGATGACGATCGAGATCACAGTACAATACTTTTGGAGACCAAAAACGGTCTGTTTGTCCCCCTGAACATCAGCACCCATTTATGCTTTGCCTTGAAAAGACTGAGGCTCGAGAAAGAAAGTCGATTTCTGTGGATCGATAAAGTCTGTATCGACCAAAAGAACCACGTTGAAAAAGAACAACAGATCCAGCTTATGGCCAAGATATATGAAGCATCGGAGCATGTGTGTGTTTATCTCGGATCCGATGCTGATGATAGCGGCCTGGTTCGTACCCCACTTGTATTTTCCTCTTTCGAGTTGAGTTAACAGGGTTGAGACAAAATTTCCTCCTCAAAGAGTGTTTCTCCACTCTGAATATGGATCAAATCTCAATATTTATACTGAACATAGCAATGCTAACTTTGAGATCATTCACAGGTTCCTAGTTTCATACACAAGTTCAACAAGGAGTTTGATGGGCACAGCACTTCTCCTATTGTAGTGGCAATCCGGCAATGGAGAGCATTAGCTGCCTTAATGCGTCGGAAATGGTTCACTCGAAGATGGTAAGATCTCATTTCATTTTCTGGTCATTTTCTGTTCATGAGGTCATATGCCTTCTTCTTCTGCCTTCTCATTAGCCACTTCTCTCGTCGTGGTGGACAACTGTAATTCATAAATCTTTCTTCTAGGGTTGTACAAGAAATAGCCTTCGCCAAAAGCGCAACACTGTATCTCGGTAGCGGAACAGAAATTGACTGGGATTCGTTCAAGAAACCTATTTGGGCAACAATACGACGGGAAGCCGATATCGTTCGTTTACTGATTGAGCACGAAAGGGGGACAGTAAATGCTCCCCGCTTCAACTTTATCGACACCCGGGCCTATGGAGCCCAAACGTTACTGGAAGTGTTAGACCGTCTTGTTAAGAGATCCCCAAATGGTGGGATTGAACGGCTGGCAACAATCGGCACCCTTGTTTCCGCTTTAGTTGCATATGATGGTGGGTCTTCCTGTGTATTTCTCTTAGTTTTCATGTTGCTGTGTAGAGGTTGAGAGGCTGCCTATTTGTGCGACTCTTGAATGCGCAACCATCACTTCCTACATGCCGAGGGGTCGTTGATGCTGATTCAAGATCTCATACAGTCACTGAAACACGAGATGCAATATACGCCATTTTACGGTTGGGAAAAGACAGCTACAAATTAGATGAAGCAAGAAAGCAAGATGCATTGATCATGCCAGATTACGAAAGTGAACCAAAACATGACAGCTGGATGTATACGACACCTACAATCAAAGTCTACGGAAAGTTTGTGAAGTTTGTTATTAATCAGTCACAATCTCTGGACATAATTTGTGTACCTTGGACCCCAGAATTGAACAGTCACGATCCTGATCATCGAGTCGGAATACCTTCATGGATTGGATTAAGAGACAAACGTCCATTCAAGCAAAAATATGGTGATGGAATGTACAAAAGAGCCAATGCTGATTGCTTAATCAACCCCCTGGGAGACAATAGTTATTGTGCCACTGGGCAGGAGAGTGTATTGCATTATGAACCAACGCTTGAACAAGAACCACATTCGCTGTTTATTGATGGCTTTCAAATTGCCGGAATCAGTGAACTGGGGGAGATTTGCGAGGATGGCAATATACCGTTCGAATGGCTTCATATGGCATGGGAACGAGACGAGAAGTCAGGTATAAAGAGAGAAGCTGGCACGGATAGCTGGGAGCCGGATCAGATGCCGGGAATTCCACATCTTGGTGAAGCCTGGCATGCTCGAGATGGCAGAGGAAGAGATTCCCGAGGGTTCCCCTATGTTTCAGATGCATTTGTAAGAGTATCCTCAACTTTCTTCATCGCAAACATTTTCCTCAAGAGTCAACGTTGACAAACATTTCTAACTTCGGCTTTGTCACAGTGGGGAACACTGGTCGGTAACAGGACCCCAGAAGGAGAGATTGCCCCAGCTTGGTATCAAGAACTGTGCGAGTTCGCTTTCAGGAAGTTCAAGAGGCATCGGGGGAAGCGAGGGAAAGTTTTCACCGATGAGGTAAAGAACCTCGCGATAAGACATCAAAAAAAGGAATATCTCGAATTTATCGAACGACTCCAAGCAGTAACATGGAACCGAAGGTTGATGTTCACCTACAATGGTCGAATAGGTATCGTTCCTGGAGAAGCAAAGATTGACGATCGCATCTGTCTTCTTTGGGGCTGCAGCGTTCCAGTCGTCTTGCGAAAAGTCGCCAAAAAGGGCCAGGAAGTGCATGAGCTTATTGGAGCATGTTATGTACATGATGTGATGGAGGGGGAACTGTTGAGAGATTACCCAAATCTACGGGAACGGGGTCCTCAGGTACCCTTTGGTATGACGGGGAATACAAGATTTCGAATTGCTTGAGGTATGCTGTACACGGGACAGAAGATTTATTTGGGTTTCGCCAGGAATGTTTTGGTCGGGGGTACTATGGGGGTGTCGTTATGATCCATATTTTCGAATCCTGGGAGGTTTAGAGGTTAGTTCTATTGATGATGGGCTGGAAGAAGTAGCCACCCAGAAATAAATCTGATTTTCTTGATGACTTGTGTATTCATAGCTCACTGTGTCTATAACCCACTCGTGTCACTTTTCTTCTCCTTTATTAACCACGTAATTGCTGCCCTGCTTGTAATACTTTGATTTTTACAACTACTCGATCGTTGTTTCGCAACCAAGTGCGAGCTACACTACCTTCTGTCTGTAATAGAGAATAAGAAGTGCGGTAGGTTCGAGAGTGAAGTTAAAGAAGACAACAGTGAATTGTGTGGTATTTTTGAAGGGTGGGGGAGACGGTAGTAATTAATAAAAAGCTATATTACGGAAAGAGAATAAAAATCTATTAAAATTTGAATAATAATCCCGAGATTGTCTTTCTCTTGCACTATCTCCTGCACCGCCCGGCGTAACTCTTGACCAGGATTAAGCACCCTTGCGTAGAATTGTTTTAACGCATGATTCCAGGTCAATTCTGACACCTTGGCACTGCCAAGCTATCAATTGCACTGAATTTTGGTAAGGAGATATATAGTCACAAGACTAGAACGTGACTAGAACATAACTATATATTTCTACTGGAGTAATAAGATTTCTATTTAATTAGTAAAATATAAGTACTTCTTTATATCATAAATGCTTATATACTGAATCTTGATTAGGATTAGTAAAGAACTTATTTAGCTTAAGCTGTTCTTCGTGTTAGGAGACGTCGAAAGTCTTGGTACAAATCTATATGTTGTTTTCCTACCTAGGTTAGCACGTCCTTGACCCACACTCGAGTTACGCCGGGCGGTACAGGAGATAGTACTAAGTCTACCCAGTTATTACTCTATATACTCTTAAAAAGGTATTATACGAAACATCTAATATAATTTAAATAATTATCTTAGTATACCTAGACTAATTAAAAGTATGCGTTTGAATTATTCTAACCTTTTTATTTAAATCTATATATAATCATTTTCGAGGCTTTTAGAGTAATATTATTTTAAGAGAGGTATATATAAAGTAACGCCCACGTTTGTAACTCCACCATGTCACGAATCACGTGCACACGTGATAAGTGAAGACCAGGCGGCGTCCTGACAGGTCAAGCACATCTATAGACCTATAGCAAATAAGGGATCGTTTGGGCTAGCTAAGCGATCCAGGGATTTCCTTGGGTTGGAATCACGTGACCAGCGACATGGCCGACGGGTCGACCGTGTCGGCCATGGGCGACTGTTCGACCATGGCGACCATGGGAACGAAGGTTCTATATAAGACTGGCACTTCTGCCTTTAGATAGGAGCTTCGTGCTCAACTTAGTTATCAATCTTATCATATTAGTTTGACATCTTTTTGATACAAGTAACGAGTTCACTTCCAAGTGAACAACCCGATAGTCTTCTTCTTATCATAGCATACCAACCAGCGAACACCCAGCCAAGTTTAGTTAGCCAGTTTGAGTATTCGTTACACACCATTACTTGTAGCCCCTCTATCTAGTTAGAAACGGTAGTACTATATAAGCCATCGAGACTCAGAACCCCAACCTATTCTTCCGCAATGTCCTTGAGCAAAATGGCTGGGATACCGCATTATTGGTAGGGGAGGAACCTGCCTTGCCAAAGCTTGCGGCCGCTGAGGTTAACACCCTTAGTGGAACCTGGACCAACTATTGCACCAACTAGAAGATGGTTGAAAAGGTCGCAAAGGGCCCAAACTTTGTACCGCCGGCGAGCAGGGGATTAATGTCGGGTGAAGATATATCCCACGAGACTCTTTACATCTGTTACCGCTGTGTGCAGAAAGTCCCAATGGGGAACCTGTACAACGTAACCTTAGCTGCATAAAATTCCTTTCCCGAGATTGTGGCGATATCCATTCAGAAATACGATGAGGCTCTGGCACGCAAGTACGAGGAGCTCGTTGTTTGAGCACGACGCCTGCTTCGATTCTACTATCAAGAGGAAGCTCCCATTCCTATTGGTGGAAATGGGGTTGCCAAGTATACCTATAACCATGTCCCCAATGAGCTACCTTCTACCACCACGGCGTTGTGTCAACAACATCGCCATTGCCATCAACCTGGTGACAAGAATTAGCGCGACGATAGAGATTAATCCAGGCACTACAGGACACTCAAATTATATATTTGAGTGCCGCACACATTGCTTGCGAGCATGCGACTCTCGGTGTGGCTAGAGGTGGCTGGCTGTGCGGCCTCGGCAGCCGTAACCGAGCCCTAGCCTGCCCTCGCTCGCCTTGTACACGAAGAATATAAGAGTCTCCCATCTCGTCTCCCTAGAGACTTTGAACGTCTATATCTTCCAATCACAGATCTCCTTCGGCCCGATATTGTGGGTATTCTCACGATTTTCCTACAAATCCGTCAAATTTTCATATTCTGATATAAGCCAGCTGCTCACATTGAAATAATAACATCCCTCGTGGCGCAATTGGCTAGCGCGTTCGACTGTTAATTCTTCTTAATCAATCAGAAGATTTAAAATCGAGAGGTTCGTGGTTCGACCCCACGCGAGGGAGCACGTGATTCACTTATTGCTTTTTATATATATATTTTTTTCACTATCTCAATCCCTAGGGGTTGTTGCGTTGTTTTTTAATCGACTTTTGGTGTTTCCGGTGATTAGCTCGGCTCCCGGCGCTAGGCCCGGTCAAAGTGGGGTTCCCGCTTTCCTCGTCTAATTCAAGCTAATCAGAGATGCTTAGGCAAGAAGTGCCTACCCTCTTCTTTTCTTCGATTCAAGTATAAACGTAGGTAGAAATCGAACACCCCTCTACGGCTAGATAATAAGATAGCGCTAGTAAGTATTCTAAATAAGCTATAGATAGCATTGCGTCCTTTAATTCTAGGAGATTGATCTTTTCCTTGAACAAATTAGTATTAAACCAGATAGCCCGGAATGTATTACACTTTCGTTTAAGCAAATGAATTTGAGAGCGTTGCTATAAATGTAGTGATTCTCGGGCATCTGTTTGATTTGGAAATTCGACAGCCTCTTTTGTAACCAAGAGAAAAAGCAAAACTGTGAAGGAATCTAGTAAGAGAACTCCAAATCTAGCATATTATAATGTAATATATCTAAGGAATTGAATTTGGTCGTATTATACAATAGATTTAGAGAATAACGTGTATGTTAACCCGGGATACGTAAGTATATTATAAGTAAATGCCTAGAACTCAAATACGATAACCAGTTTTCATAAGTAGGAAGTCTTACACCAAAAACAAAAGCCGCATTTTCTAAAAGACGTAAGGAATCCAAGTCCTGATACTAATAAGGAAAATATTGTTAGGTACAGCGAAGCATGCAGAATGTAATTAGAACGAAATGCCCCAGTTCCTATCTATTTACTATGAACCTGAATTGAAGAAGCAAACTCCTATATCTACCCATGTGATAGATCCCGAGAGGGGAACAAGGATAGTCAAACCATCTAATGAAATGAAAAGAACAACGTAAATTTGCTCCCAAATTCTGGCCCTCTTTCTGGATAAGCGTGATAAGTTCAGAACCACATCTTAAAATAGCAACATAAATTGCCGAAAAAGAAAAGAAGAAAATCGATCGGAATTTGAACCCCTTTCAACAACCAACAACCAACTCGAATTTCCAACTTCATATCTCCACTGTGACTACAACTCCTCCAAACATCCGCCGCTCGGTCGTGCGCATGGGTTTTTGTTGTGACACATCCAACAAACGAGATGACGCATACGGAGTGTATGCTGTCCGGCCCCCAACAACCCCCCCAAACCCAGTGCCTTGCTTCCGCTTCCCCTTTCCTGTTGCAGGCTGCGCTGATCAAATCTCAAACCATGAAAGGTTTTTGTTGCATACCGCACTTCTGAGGCTGTAAGTGGAGAATTTGCCTCGTTGCCTGTGGCTTTTTTGTAGGTTGATTTCGTGCATTCCTTCTTTTTCGCGGCGATCAGTGTAAGGGGTAAGCGCCCGGTTCAGGGTACTTGGGTAATGTTACACATTTGGTGCATCCGCAAGGCTGACTGATAGTTTTGGAACAATTGTTCTTTTCTTCTTTCTATCTCCCACGTTCCAACCACGGGAGCTGTTCATCATGGAAATAGGGATATCGCCGAAAGTTTCGCTGTGGTGTCGGTAAACGTTCATGTTGAGGAATTCGAGACAATTTCATCGCACCAAAACCAGGAGGAAACTAGTATGAAATATCAGTAGACCTCTGGTTCTAATTCTCTCACCGCACGGTTACATTACTGTACAGTACATCACAATCCCGATTGTTGGGATTTTCCGCCAGAAAATGACTGGAATGCTGGGTCAGCGAATCACAAGTTGGAAGGAAATCTTACTATTGACCAATCCAGGCTCACACGAATGCTCTTTCAGGCTGTGGTGGGACTTACAAGCGCAAGCAGGATTCGAGAATCTCAATGCTAGTCGAATATTGACAAGGTCCTAAGCCTAATGTGTTCTCTTCTCGATCGATGCATTCAGTTCTTTGAAGGAAAACTACATCTCTTCTCGAACCGACATGTCCAATACAAGGCAAAAACCAAGAAATAGGACTCTGTTCTTCGGACTATCTGATTTCGTTAGTATTAGGACACGTAGACTTCGTGAAACTACAAGGGCAAGTGCGTTTTCTCTTTCTGTGAATGTGCATATCAGGAGCCTGCATACATCCTGAAACTTGCTAGTACTGATTATTATTATTAGCATTCAAATAGTTAGAACTTTTTTGTATTACAATCTCTCTTTATTCTGCCAAAACCATATACCTGCCCCACATTTTTGACCGGTTTTTTTTGCTTTGGTGGCCGAGCGAGTTGATTATCCTCACTAAATCAAGGCAACCTTACTACGTCTCGCTAAGTGTATTTTTACAAGTTTTGTATCATGGGCTGGTGATGTTGTCATGAGCGTCCAGATAGGTTGATTTGAGAGAAGGCCAACATTCCACGCTTGCCCACCCACCCTCGCTTGTTTGTTTGGGACCTCAAAACCCCTGAGTTCATTGTTAGAGCAACACTTACTAGCCTAGCTTGTTTAGGAGGGTAATGGGTAGGTATACTCCGTACACGTCAAAATTCCTAGGTACTTAAAGTCTAAATTTGGGGGTGTGGGGGTACTGTATATGCATAGTAGTAATTAATAGCCTTTAGATAGCTTTTGCGAATTGCGAATTGCGAATTAGCATTGAGTTCATTTGAACTTTTTGTACATTCAGGTTGCCGTAATTTAGGATGCCGTAAGTATGGAATTACGGCATCCCAAATCTACTACTAAACCAGATGACTTAATCGCAATCGCAAATCGTAAATACTCAGTTCCAAGGTTATTTTATAGGAAATGGTAAATGGTAAATCGCAAAGTGGCTCAGGGTTAGGGTTATATGCCAGCGCTGGAATTGAAGATAAAACCACTCGATATAAGCAAAAAAGCTTGAATTTGACTTGAACGCTCCTTTAAATCCACCCCCCCTTCTATATAAACCTCTTCTACTACTAAATAACCTTCTTGACTACCACTACTATCATTCATCAATTCAGAGGAGGAGGAGGCTCCTGGCTTTAATCCTGTACCGTAGATATCGTAGGTCGCTACTGTCGTAAAGGAGTGTCGAAAAGAAAGAGAAGAGAAAGTAGGAGAGAGAACAAGGACAGGTAAAGGTAGGTAGGTAGCAAACAATTGTTACGTAACACGTGCTAGCCTAGCTATTTTAGGAAGGTGGTATTCGAGTCTGGGATAAGCGACACATACGAAAATATTTCCCCGCTTCTATCCCCTCCGCTGCTCTCTCTCTTTCTCTCCTAAATAACATACTAGGGCACAACCCTTGTACGACAGCGAGGGTACGACAGCAGGGTGGGAGTGTGGGGTTGTCGGGATATAAGCGTTTAGCGACTTACAAGGATTATATATCTTCAATTCAAGTTTATGCTATAATCATATCTCTTGTTCTTGTTTAATGCTCCTTGAATAGCCTCATTTTGCCTTAAATTCTAGCGCTGTTATATAACCCTAACCCTAAACTAGTTGCGATTTGCAATTTGCGATTTGCGATTTGCGATTTACGATTAAGTCATCTGGTTTAGTAGTAGATTTGGGATGCCGTAGGAATGCAGTAGCTACGTAATTTGTTTCTCATTCCACCACCATATCTGAATCCTCTCAAAATGCGGTCCTCCCAGTCTTGACTTGAGTAGGACGTCCAGACTTTTGCAGGGCATCCAAAGTCCATGTCAGAAGCTCCTGATCCCTTCCAGGTCTACCCATAAGCGAAACTACCATCGGCAACTGTTCTGTCTTTCCAGTGATACGAGATTCGTAAGGAAGCTCTGTGACTAAAAGTAATAGAACTTAGCAAGAGCTATAAAAGGTGAGAACATACTTACTCGGTACCGCTAACTCAGGGGCGCCCAAAATTGGTGAAATATAAGTTGCACGAAGACCTGGTACATCGAGATTGTTATTGCCAGGATATTGATCACGATATTTCCGGGTGACGGTATCGATGTGCAAGGCAATCAACGCAGATCCTTGCATATAGCGATCTATAAACCTGTTGTGCTGGATCCACCATATCACCTGATGTGGAATCCACTTATTTATTATTGTATTATTATTTGTACAGCGTCTGTATTGAGATACGGCTCCACCTCTCATTTACCCCTTTCTTTCTCATTTGCCCCTTTTTCCTTCCCTTATAAATACTCTGTACAATAGCTTCTCAAACAATCAATCAATTCTCCATGACCTTCAGTACACCACACTCTTCAGCCCAACAAAACCATTTCTTGAAGACCAAGAAACGCTTCATGATCTCCTCATACTGCTCTGAAGTAACTTCGCTTCCTAAAGACCTGTTCAAATGAGCGACCGGATTATGTTTAGAGGAAAGGGGAAAATATACCAATACCACCTCACCACTTCCGTGACAAAAGGATCATGGCCATTAGCTTCCCGATATTTCTGTCTGAATTCATCGAAAGCGTTGTATGCAGCGTAGAACCAACCATGGCTGGTTGTCTATTCTTAATATCAGTTTCTGTTCGGATTACTGATTATTCTGTTTGATGACATACATGGTACAAATAGGCTCTCAAATCCTTTTCCTCGACAGTTGCTGTTATCTTCCAGTCTTCGTTAATGGAAATAGTTTGATAGGCGCAATCCATGGCCTCTGAAATGTCGTCAAGAAATTCATTCATTGCTTGTACTTGTTCGGGATTATTAATGGGCATAAGGTCAGTAGGATAGAGAATCTCGGTTACTGGTTCTTTGGAGAATCGAGCTTCTGATACAGATTCGCGCAGAGCGTCGAAAATACTAGGAAACAGCTACTCCGTGGGATCGGTAGCCATTACCGGGGGCATCGATCTGAATAAAGGACCTGAAGAGTCGGAAGTTGGTAAGTGAATTACACTGCTGCGACAAAAGTGGATCTTACCCGTTGTCGTGTTGAGATGGCTTGATGGCTTGTAAAAAGGCAAGCTGGCGATCTTCATATACCCTAGATATCGAATAAAGAAGACCCTGCTCGATACAATAAGGGCCATCAGCAACTTTCAGAGCAGGTACGTGAAAGAATCTGAGAGTTTTCCAATCTTTAAACGTTTTTTCGGTATAGCTTGCAAGCTTCATCTCGCGAGAACCGAGGCCAGTAAATATTATTTGCTGAAGAAATTCCGGAGCAAATACGTCGTCCTTTTGAAGTTCGTCTCGCCATGCAGACATGATGCTGGCATTGATAATACTGTTCTCCTCCACATCGAAACAGGTGACCAGGGCTGAATTCTCATCTCCATCAGGCTCAGACGTGTTAGTGAAATTGTTGCATCATCCGGATTATAACATGCCAGCCTACAATATCAAAGGAGACAGATATTGGCCATGCAATATAAGTACTTCCTCGGACTTGAAAGGTCTTAGATGCATCCGCCATGACGAAGTCTACAACAGCTGTTTTGTTCGACTCGCAGAATAACGAGTGAGAGGTAAGGGACTCGCCGATGGCAAATTGAGTTGTCAAGAAATTGATTAACGCCACTCTGTTGCTGTTTATTGTGGCCTGGTACAGCCGGCAAAATTGTGATATGTAGTTACCTCGTTATGTAGTTCTTCTCTGCTTCAATGCCTTATGTAGGCATTCTGGGAAACAGATCATCGTTGGAGGGGTTTGGGGTGACACAGCAGGGGGTAAGCATCACTTGATCGGGACGACATTCTCTGAATATAACTATACCCCTCTTTCTCTTGCTTCACCACGAAGACCTCTATCGCGAATAATGTCTAAGATCACACGCAAATTAAACTTGCTGACTGCTAGTACAATTATTGGAAGAATCTAATCGAGAAGGGGATCCTTAAAAGTGTTGATTTAGTAGATCGTTATCTAGGTCACATCGAGGAGAAGGACATGTACCTTCATGTCATGTTGTCAATACCCCTAAGAAAGACCTTGCAAAACATTGCATCAGGTCTAGACCAAGAACGCAGATTAAGGAAGCTAAGAAAACCGCTGCATGGTCTATCATCATAAAGGCTCACCTCACTCAAGTATTTCCTTCACTTTAGTTGACGTGCATACGATAACATCGCTACGTATCCCAACCTAGGTATGGCGAAATCAGCTGAAAGCCTTGCACTTTTTCATTCTGTGCCACAGGCAAATGTCTCTATAGTCGAGAAGGTGAACTATGTAAGACTTACAACATTTTGAAAACGAACCAAAGCTAACCCTAAAAAAGTTGATCAATGCTGGCCTGATTATCATCGGCAAAGCAAACCTTAGCGTGCGCCATGTCTTTGAAAAACTTGTAAGTATACTGTGTTGCTAAATATTAATTTTTAAACTTATTACAGGAACTATCGAACTTCAAGTGCTATTACATAGCGGGGATTATCAATATTTCGCCGCTCACTGACTGTTAAAAGGGGCAAGGATCCCCTCAGGCGATTGGTCAGCAGTTGGAGGGCAAACGCAATCTCCCTACGTTCGTGGAGGAGCTCAATTCAATGACTCAAAAGATGGAAATAGCGTATTTTGCATTCCAATATAGCACATCCACTTTATTGTACTGACTCATTCTTCTAGATGCCCTCTGGATCGTCTTCTGGGTCGGACGTCGCAGTTGCGGCAGAATATGCACCCCTTGTTATTGGAACGGAAACCAACGAATCTCTGGTTTGGCCTGCGAGTAGATGTACACTTTACTCCATCAAGCCAACCATTGGGCGTATCTCTCAAAGCGAAATAGTCCCCTTATCACATGACTGTGACATTGTGTGGTCCGATAGCCAAAATACCCTATGATCTTGCCATTCTAATCGACGAGATATTAGATAAACCTCCAATTTCTAATTCTAACTCCCATCTAACGAGTTCATGGTTCAACACAGCTGTTGGCGTGCTAGACTTTAACCAGTGGTGGCATGATGTGTGGGTTTTGAAGCCCATCGAATCAAGAAGCAACGATTCAAATGGTACGCAAAAGTCTTCTGTGAACAACTAGGATCTGAAAAATAGTAGTACAAGAGTCTCCAAATCGCTTATGACAAAATCGAGGAGTCGGCGAAAAGTTTTGTTCCGATTTCCCTCCGATTTCCCTAGGAGAATTTCAACTAAATGGCCGAGACAGCCCATTGACAGTGCTATGTGAGAATCAACGTTCTTTGCCCTTCTTTCTTGTCACTTGTTTTAGTAGAAAATGGTGATACCTTGTCTAATGACCAATGGGATAGATGAAATTTCCGTTGGGAAGGCAGCTTGTAACTTTACTTTATTTATTTATTTATTGCTATTTAACGTCAAGCGGAGTCTAGCTCGCGTGGGCTAGGTCCTAGAAGAGTCCCAATATGGGCAAATGACGCTAGGGGGGTGCCCTAGGCTACAGGGGGTGTAAAAGAAGAGACGCTAATTTACAAGAGACAGTTTAAAGAGAAGCCCCACTTTCGGGACAGCCCTTATCCTTAATTAGTTTTGAGAACCAGGGTACAACAAATGAAATACATAAATCAAAGAAAGAAAGAAAAGTAGGCCAGCCTATCTAGGTAGACAAATCTTAGTGAAGAATCTAGTCTTAAACTAGACCTTATTAAATAGCTCCTCGCAGCCGGGGCCGAAGAGCAGCTGAGGGTTCCTCTGAGCTTCTGCTAGTAGCCTAGGGGCTACGTTGTTTGCTAGCCTACAAAAGAGTAGGTGGAATTGAGACTTAGCCTTCTTACACTTACAATCCCCTGAGGTAAGTAATGCGTCGAAGTGAAAGAAGCGAAGGTGGTAAGCGACAAAGTCTCCATGCCCAGAACGAGCAGCTATTAAGCGAGCTAGAACCTCTCTTGGTAATTGAAGAGACCGTGGCTTCAAAGACCAATTTTCAAGCCCCAGATCCTTATAGACAGCCGGGAGTGTAGCGCTCCAGAGCTTCTTTGCAAGTCCAATCCCTGTTTCTTGAACCCCCCTCTTGAGCGTAGCAGTACAAAGTGGAGAGAGGGAATTAGAAGGGGGTATCCGCGCTGCTTTCCCAGCAGCTCTGTCCGCGATTTCATTGCCTAGGATACCTATGTGACTAGGGCACCACCTAGTCTGTATTTTCCCAGGGTATGATGACGCTAACTCATGGACTGTATTAAAGATCCCTTGCGATGTGCCACAAGACCGGTATGTTAGTTGAAGCGCAGCCTCAAGGTTGTCGAGGCAAATCCAGCACTTCCTAGCCGAAGGCCAGTACAGGGAGTTTGAAGCTAGTTCTAGTCCATGGAGAGCAGCCCTAGCCTCTGCATCATATATCTCCAATGCCTTGCCGAAGGAGAAAGCCTTAGTATTAAGAATAACCCCCCCTCTTGTGAGACATACGCCACCTCCAGTACTTTTGTCGTCTAAGCGAGAGCCGTCGGTAAATACTACCAGATCCGTAGGTGGAACATCAGCTAGAAATTCAAGGAATTTGGCTTTAAAGGAATTCTTGTCTCCGCTATGGTCTGGTCCCCCTACCTCTAGAAGACGGGCTTGTCGGTCAAAACCCCTGCTCCATGGAGGGTCTTGTATAGGGTCAATCTCTTCAGAGGGAGGAAGGATTCTCCGAGCACGGTAAATAAGCCTAGCTTTAGGGCTAGGGTTATTTACACATCGTTTGAGTGGGTGGTCCGGATCTAGCCGTCGGATTCGGGCGTCTAGTGCTTCGCTTCTTACTATAAGAGCAATTTCAGAGGCTAGAAGGCCAGATTCCATGAGCAGTATCGAGGTAGGAGTAGTCTTATACACCGGAAGAATAATCCTAGCACACTTAGCCACTACTCTGTCTAAGAGAGTCAAGTGACGGCCAATTCGGTTGTTTGTAGTTCCTACTTGGCCTGTTTTAACCCTAGACCGCCCAGGGAACCAGGTCTCGCTTCCAAAGTAGGCGATTGACAGAATACAAGCAGTGGTAGCTTGCTTCAGCAAGTGGGATGGAGAGCCTCTTGCTGTGTTTGTTGTCCCTTTTAAAGCGTTCGCTACTAACGTAGTCTTACTGATCATTCTTTTAACATGGCTGTAGAAGGTAAGACGGGGATCAAAGAAGATACCGAGCCATCGAAGCTCTTGTGTCGGTTCTATTGTCC